GCCCCCGGCCGCCGCGCCCGCGGCTCCCGCGGCGCCGCCCGCGCCCGCGCCCCCGGCCGCCGCGCCCGCGGCTCCCGCGGCGCCGCCCGCGCCCGCGCCCCCGGCCGCCGCGCCCGCGGCTCCCGCGGCGCCGCCCGCGCCCGCGCCCCCGGCCGTCGCGCCGCCCGCGCCCGGCGGCGACCTCCGGGCGCTGCTCACGGGCGACGTCTGGGGCTTCAAGCCCACGGGCCAGGGCATGATCGAGCTCGTCGACGCCGTCTGCCGCCGCGCGAGCACGCTCGCGGAGCTCGTCGCGTTCTCCGAGGCCGCCGTCGAGGCCGTCTTCGCGGAGTCGCCGCACCTCAAGGGCCTCGCGCGGAAGCGCTTCCGGCGCGCCCTCGAGCGCGCGCGCCGGTTCGCCGATGCCGAAGCCTAAGCTTAAGCGGCATTTCGCGTTACTCGAAGTCGGCGCGCGCGGTCCGGACCGCGGGCAGCGCCGCGGCGGACCGCGAGTGGCGCTGGCGCTGGCGCCGCGCGCCGTTGGCGCCGGCGCCGGCGGCGCTGATGCCGGCGGCGAGCCGGTCCTGGGCGTGGCGCCGGCCCCGGTGCGGCGCGTCCGCGTTCTCCACGAGCCCCCGGACCGTCGACGACGAGAACCGCGCCGCGTTCGCGTCCATGCGGTCCGCGAGGCGGTCGACGCTGCCCGCGAGCCGCAGGAGCTTGCCGTCGAGCTCGAAGAGGTCGTCCTGCGTCGCCGGCGCGGCCGCCGGCGCCGCGACGGGCGCCGCGGGCGCGCGCGCGGCCGCGACGTGCGCGACCTCCTCGACCAAATCGTCGTCGAGGTCCGGCAGGCGCTTCCGCACGACGGCCCGGAGCGCCGCGAAGCCGCCGCGGCGCCGCGACGCCGCCGCGGCGACGTCGAAGGCGCCCGGCCCCGCGCCGCGCGCCGCGAGCGCCGCCGCGACCGCGTCCCGGCACGTGTCGTCGCCCCGCCAGTGGTCCAGGAACGCGTCGAGCTCCCGCCGAGCCTCGTCGCGCGACGCCGCGAGCGCGGCCAGAAAGGCCGCGGCGCCGTCAGAGGCGACGCGCGCGTCCTCGTCCTCCCTCGCGACGAAGGCCGCGCGCGCGGCGAGGGCCCGGTCCGCGGCGTCGAAGGCCTCCTCGTCCGCCCGCCGGACGCGCTCTCGCTCCGCGGCCAGCGCGGCGCCCGCGGCGAAGGCGGCCTCGTTCGCCCAGCGCGCGTAGGCGGCCTTGGCCGCCTGCGCGGCCTGCTCGGCCTCGCGCCGCGGCCAGTCGCGCTCCTCGAGCTCGAGCGCCTCCCACTGCTGGTACTGCATGCGCATGTTTCGCAGATACTTGATGTTGGGCGCGAGGTAGTTCTTCCGCTCCTTGATGCCCTGGACGATGTCCTGGACCGCGCGGTTGAGGATGGTGGCGGGGTTCACGAGGAAGTCGACGAGGCAGAGGAACGAGACCGTCGACGAGACGCGGAGCGTCCTTTTCGCGGCGCTGAACTGCTTCCAGTCTGCGAACTTCGACTTCGTCGCCGTGGGGACGTGCGCGTAGCTCATCTGCCCGACGGTGGCGGGCGCCGCCTTCCGCGCCACGCGCGAGCCGTCGACGAAGTCCCTCATTTTATTGATGTTTTCGTCGAGATTTTGAAGCTCGTTGTGGATCTTCTTGTCGAGACGTTGAAGCTTCTCCATCTCCGCCTCGCGCTGGGCGATCTCCCGGAAGAGCCGCGCGTGCATGCTCTCGTCCACTTCCGGCGCATCGAGCCGCGCGAGGACCTTGGCGGCCTCGACGCGGTCACTCATGACGGTGAGCACGTCCACGAGGCTCGGGCCGGCGTCCATGCTCGCCGCCGCCGACTGCGGCCGGCCGCGCCGGCCCCCCGTCGCGGAGCTGGCCCGCTGGCTCGTGGCCGATTTCGGACGCGGCGGCATCGTGCGACCAGTCCGCTATGAGATGCCTCAACTTGCGAGGCGCCGGCCCCCCGTCGCGGAGCTGGACCGCTGGCTCGTGGCCGATTTCGGACGCGGCGCGCGCTCGACAGCACCAGACCGCGCTATGAGATGCCTCAACTTGCGAGGGATCCCAGTGTCCATGTCGAGGTTGACGCTCGAGAGGCGATGCCGATGGCCGAAGGTCCTCTCCTCGAGTAATTCGCCATCTCTTCAGCAAGCAGTGCACCTCTTCAGCAAGCAGTGCACTTCTCCAGCGAGTTTTCAGCCACCACCGACCGCATGGCCGCCTTCTCGGCGGACGCCACCCACTACGCCGTCCTCGACTGCGCCGCCGACGCCGACGGCGTCGCGCTCCGCCGCGCCTACCACCGCGCGAGCGTGCGCTGCCACCCGGACAAGCCCGGCGGCGACGCCGCGGCGTTCCGGCGCGTGCAGGCCGCCTGGGAGACGCTGCGCGACGACGGGCGGCGGCGCGACTACGACGCGTCGCTCGCGGCCGCGGCGGCCGCGGACGACGTCTGCGTCTGGTGCGAGCTCCGCCCGTCGGACTTTTCGCGCGCCGACGACGGCGTGCTCGAGTACGCCTGCCGCTGCGGCGGCGCCTACGCGCTCGAGGACGAGGACCTCGCCGGCGGCGGCGACGTGCTGCTCGGCTGCGACGGCTGCTCCTGCGTCGTCCGCGTGCGGCGCGGCGACGCGCGCGGCGGCGACGCGTAAGTTACGGCTTCCGCCAGTAGACGTTCTGGGCGACGAACATCTGCGGCTGGAGGATGCGGCGGCCGTGGAGGAGGACGTCCTCCGCGAGCAGCGCGCGCTTGTTGGCCGGGAGCCGCGGGCACGTGAGGACGTAGTCGATCGGCGCGGGGAGGAGCGGCGCGGCGACGCCCCGGGCCTCGCGGAACTCGCGCACGGCGCGCCGGCAGCCGCCGAGGTGGTAGTCGTCGACGATGACGAGGCCGCCCGGCGCGACGCGGTCGTAGAGGTGGTCGAGCGCGTCGCGCGTGCCCTCGAACGTGTCCGCGTCGACGCGCAGCACGGCGACGCGCGCGGGCTCCGCCGCCGCCGGGAGCGACGCGGCGAAGGGCCCCTTGACGATGCGCAGCCGTTCGCCCGCGCCGACCTGGTAGAAGTGGAGCGCGACGTCCGCCTCCGGCGCCGCGTAGGACCGCGCGGGCCACGACCCCGTGTGCGCGTCGCCCGTCGCCTCGGGGATGCCCGCGAAGGAGTCGACGGCGAAGACGCGCCTCGAGTCGGACGCGTCGAAGGCCTCGAGGGCCGCGGCGGCGAGCGCCGCCGTGCCGCCGCGGAAGACGCCGCACTCGGCGACGTCGCCAGCGACGCCGCGCGCGCAGACGTCCTCGACGGCGGCCTGGAGCAGGTTCAGCGACCCGACGTGGGCGAAGCTCAGCACGCCGCCCTTGCCCGCGTCGTCCCAGGCCCGCGCGCCGCCCGCGGCGACGTTCTCGAAGCCGACGTCGAAGACGTTCGGCCGCCCCGACGGCTCCAGGGCCCCGTCGAGCGGGCCCGCGGCGTCTCGCAGCCGCGGCGTCCCCAAAAAGCCCGTCACCCAGCGCTTGACGAAATCGAGGTACCGCGCGTCGCCCGCGAGGCGCCCCGCCGTCGAGTTCATGCCCGGGAAGTCGCAGAGCACGGGCCCGAACTCCAAATCCGCGACCGCGAGCGCCGCGCCGCCGGCCGAGGCCGGCGGCGCCCAGGGCGCGTCGTCGCCGGGCTCGCGCTCGTCCGCGGCCCAGCGCGGCGGGCGCTCCGCGCGGACCGCGACGGTCCCCTCCGCGGTCCGCTCGAAGGCGACGGACGCGTTGCCGTGCAGCGCGAACGACTTCACGCCCCCGCGGACCGTCGCCGCCGCGCCGAGCCGCGAGTCCGCGGGCGCGCCGGCCAGCGTCGCCAGCGCCGCGGCGACGGCCGCGGCCTCGGCGCGCCGCGCGAGCTCCGCGACGACGGCCGTCGTCTCCTCGGCCTCGGCCCGGTTCTCGACGACCTCGAGCCAGAGCAGGTTCGCCAGCGCGACGGGCTCCAGGGGCGCGAGCCGCGCGGCGCGGGCGAAGTGCTGCCGCGCCAGCGCCGGCCGCCCGCCGACGTAGTGCGCGAGGCCCAGGTTGTTGTAGGCGACCCAGCGCGGGCCCTCGCCGAAGCCGCAGGCCGCGGCGCCCGCCGCGAGGCCGCGCTGCGCCGCCAGGGCCTCGCAGGTGGCGCGCGTCGTGCCCTCGTCGCCGGCGGCGGCCGCGAGGCAGAGGGCTGCCGCTGCGAAGCGGTTCATCATGCCGCTCATGCTACCCACCTCAATTACTAAGGCAACCGGGTCCATCCCCTTCAACAACCTGGTCAACATATCCACCGAAACTAACATTTGACGTCACGTCGTGGGCTGCTTCTCATATTATGGCGCAGCCGCTTGAGGCGACGCAACCGCTGCTGCCCTGGCGGCGGCGGCCCGCGGCGCAGCGGAGCGAGGAGCGCGTCGCGAGGCTCCGCTGGCTCGGCGCCTTCGTCGGCGTCGGCGCGCTCGCGACCATCGCCCTCGCCGCCGCCGGTGGAGCGACGCCGCCGGACGCCACGCCGCGCCTCGCGGCCGCCGTCGCCGCCAAGACCTGCGAGACGTCGTCGGTCTGCGCGTCGAGCGCCGGCTTCTTCGCGTCGCTCTGCGGCGGCGCGTGCGGCGGCGACCGGCCCTGGGCGCGGTCGTGCGCGTGGCAGGCCGTCGCGGACCTCGAGGCGGTCTGCGCGGGCACGTTCTCGCCCGCGGCGCCGGCGGGCCCGACCTGCGAGCGCGACGCCGTGCGGGACAACTGCGGCGGCCGCGCCGATCGCTGCGAGGCCGCGCTCGCGCGCGGCGGCGCCGTCGAGGCGCTCGACGGCCACCTGCCCGAGCTCTGCGCGGCGGCGGGCGCGCCCCTCGACTGGGCGCCGGCCGTCGACGTCGCGCCGGGCGTCACCGAGCTCGCCTGGCGCGCGCGGTCCGCGGAGCGCGGCGGCGGCGCCGTCGCGATCGAGGAGCACTACCTCGACGGCGACTCGCCGCTGCTCAGCCAGACGTTCCAGAAGCAGGCCTACGCCTACTGGCGCTTCGCGCTCAACGGCGACGTCCAAACGGGCCCCTCCGTCGAGGCGACGACGCGCGTCTACGCGACGCGCGCCGCGTTCTTCGCCGCGCTCGAGCGCAAGAGATTGAACGCGGGCGCGCTCGTGTTCCTCGACGTGCTCTACGAGGGCTTGGACACGGCCTACGATCGCGCCGCCCTCGCCGACACCCACGTGCTGGACCACGGCGACCTGCCCGAGTCGGCCTGCGGCGCCAAAGATCCCGCGACGGACCTCGACTACGTCTGCGCGTACCAGCACACGCCCGACGTGCTCCGGCGGAGCTCGCTGCTCCGCGCGCTGTTCGCCTACGAGACGCCCCTGGTCCTCGTCCTCGCGGGCGACGCGGACTGCCGCCTCAAGGACCTGCCGACGACGACGCACCACCGCCTCGTCTTCCCCAACGACGGGTCGTGCGCGACGCAGGTCGACGCGGACCCGGCGCGGCGCCTCTGGTGGCCCGAGGGCCTCGAGGGCCTCGACGACCCGGCGCGCGACCGCGGGCCCCAGCACGGCCCGCGCGGCTTCGCCGCGGACGCGCGCGCGCTCACGGCCGCGCCCGCCGCGGGCCTCGAGGCGCGGCCCTTCCTCTTCGACTGCGGCCTCACGGTGACGCCCCGGAAGCCGTCGCGCGAGACGCTCGTGGCGTCCCTGAAGGCCGGCGGGGCCGACGAGCTCCAGGGCCTCGCGCGCGCCGCGGGCCGCCGCGCGCGGTTCTCCTCGTCGGCGACGGGAACCGCGCCGGAGCCGACAACTTACGGCTTCGACACGGGCGCCGGCGACGCCGCGGGCGGCGACGGCGCCGCGGTCTTCGCCCTGGCCCCCGCGGGCGACACGTGGTCGTCGGGCCGAGTCGTCGAGGCGCTGCTCCGCGGCGCGATCCCCGTCGTCGACGCGACGTACGCGAGCGACGGGGTCAGCGCCAAGGGCTGCGCCGACGCGGCCAAGTTCTGGCGCGAGGGCGAGGCGGGCTTCGCGGAGCGGGCGCCCTTCGTCTTCGTCGACGACTGGGACCGCCTCGCGGACGCGCTCCGCGGCTTCGGTGCGGAGGACGACGCCGAGCTACGGCGGCGCCTCGGCGCCGTCCGGAGCTACCGCGGCCGCCTCGAGGCCCATCTCCGGCGGCGGACGCTCGCCGCCGTCGCCGACGCGCGCGCGGACACGGCCGCGACGACGTGCGCGGCCGCGGCGTTCTCAACGCGCGAGCGCGCGGACCTCGACGCCGCGGCCGCGGCCTACTACTCCGACCCGGCCTGGTTCGCGTCCTTTCCGGACGGGCCGGCCTACCCGGGCTCGGGTTGCACGACGAAGTACTTCACCGACGGCCGCAAGCAGCACGGCGCGCTCTGCTTCGACGCCGCGTGCGCGCCGCCGGACGTGAAGCGCTTCACCTGCGGGCCCCGCGCCTCCTAATTAGCTCTGATCGCCATGAGTGAGCTGCGAGTGCTCGATCATCATCATGATGCCGGCCCGATGCTGTTAATTACCACTCGGCCCGTGGAGAAGTGACGAGGTCAGCCTCCAGGTTCAGGCGCCTGTACGTACCGCCTCTGCCTCGTCGTCTTCGCGGCCATCATGCGGCGGCTCCTCGGGCGCGTCGGCGCGGCGGGCCTCGCGAGCGTCGCGTCGTCGCGGCCCGCCTGGAGCAACGGCGGCCAGTGCGTCGCCGAGGCCGAGGAGGAGGAGGAGTACGCGCTGCCGAAGCTGGGCCTGCGGCGGGAGCGGCGCGTCGCCGACGTCGTCTACGACAGCGTCATCGTCGGCTGCGGCGTGAGCGGGACGGCGGCCCTCGTCGCCCACGGCGCCCGCGGCGGCGGCCGGTCGTGCCTCGTGCTCGACGGCGACGCGGACGCGATCGCGCGGTGCCGGCGGCTCGGCGGCGCGGGCGTGACGTGCCTCCGGGAGCGCGCCGCGCGCGTGGACCCGGCGCGGAAGCGCGTGGAGACGGCGGGCGGCGGGTCCTACGCCTACGGGGGCAAGCTGCTCGTCGCGTCGGGCGGCGCGGCGCCCGTGCCGCCCGAGGGCTTCGTCGACGGCGCCGCGGACGCGCTCGTGCGGGTCCTGGGCCTCGGCGAGTCGTCGGACGCCGCCGTCGAGGCCGAGGCGCTGGCGCTGGCGGCCCGGGGCGGCGAGGTCGCCGTGATCGGCGGCTCGTGGCAGGCCGCCGCGCTCGCGGGCCGGCTCGCGCGCGCGGGCCCGCGGAGCCGCGAGGCGTCGGGCCACAGCGGCAGCGCGGCGACGCTCGTCTTCCCGGAGCAGACGCCCGTCGGCGCGCGGCTGCCCAAGGCCCTGGGCCTCAAGCTGCGCAAGCGCCTCGAGAAGCGGGGCGTCGCCGTCGTCGGGCACAGCCAGGTCCGCTACGTCGGCCCGTCCGCGTCGACCCGGCGCTGCCTGCTCTACCTGGGCCGCGTCGACGACGCGCTCAAGACGTCGCAGGCCTACGCGGACCTCGTCGTCGTCGCCGGCGGCGAGCACGTGCCGCCGGCCGAGGTGTCCGCGCGCGACGCGCTCTGCGCGCCGCGCGGCGCGCAGGTCGCGTCCGCGACGAAGCCCACGGACCTCGACGGCCCGCCCGGGGCGAAGCGGCCCATCTTCGTCAACGAGGAGCTCGCGGCGAACTCGACGATCCTCGCCTGCGGCGACGCGGCCGCGACGCCGTGCCGCCTCGCGGCCGCGACGGCCGCGGCCGCCGCGGCGGCGACCGTGGGCCACCGGGCCTGCACCATCGCCAACGACGCGGGCGTCCACCACGCCGAGGCGACGGGCGCCGCCGCCGGCGACCACCTGGCGACGCTCGACGGCCGCGGCGCGGCCGCCGTCGTCGCGCGGCTCTCGCCGACGGTCGTCGCGGACTTCGGCGACGCGCTGGGCCTCCACGTGACGCTCGTGGGCAAGTGCGACGCGACGCTCGAGGCGCACCACTTCTACGGCAAGCACGTGAACGTCGCCGTCTACGTCGAGAAGTCCGCGTCGACGGACGACGGCGGGCCGAGCCGCCGCGCGCCCGTCGGCGTCGTCTTCTGGGCGTCGGGCCCCGCCGTCGACGCGGACGCCTGCGGCCGCGCGGCGGCGGCGGCGCGCGACGCGCTGGCGGTGCTCGCCGACGCGCCGGCGCCCTACGACGACGAGCACCCGGACCGGCTCTGGGAGCTCGACCTCGAGAACCTGCGGACGCTCCTCGACGAGTGCCTCGCGGCGAGTGGCACGGACGAGCGCGCCTTCCGCCACGCCCACGTCATCTCCCGCGCGGACCGCCTCGGCCCGCGCTTCTACGACGGCCTCGGCGCCGCGGACACGGCGCTCTTCTCCCGGGGCAAGAACTCGAAGATGGCCGACCGCGTCTCGCGCGCCTACGCGTCGGGCGTCGTCCACGGGCCGGGCGACGCGGCGCCGCGGTCCTTCGCGCCGCGGGGGCGGGGCGACGACGACGCCGCCGAGGACGACTGGGTCGCCCTCGCCGCGCGCCGCGCGCCCTCGGTGTCCCTCGCGGCCGCGCGGCGGCGGCAGACCAAGAAGCTCGCCGCGCGCAACCTAACCCCCTAGTCTCGGTCGGTGTGGCGGCGCTGGTCCTCCCGTCGTCGGGCCCGGCGACATGCGCGAGAGCAAGACGACGCAGAGCGCGAATGTGTGTCGTGCTTGAGTCTTAGGGGAGGCGGCCGCGCGGGTCCGTCCACGGCTCCCCCTTAGGGCTCGCAGCCGTAGAACGTGTTGTTGAACTCGCCGGCGAGCTCCGCGCGGCCGCAGCCCGTCGAGAGGCACGCGTCGCAGGCGCCGAGGCACCGCGCGTCGTCGAAAACGATCGTCTGGTTCATGACCAAGTAGCATTGCACGTCGAAGGTCGGCGCCGCGGCGTCGTCGGACTTGACGCACGCGGTCTCCTCGTAGCAGCTCAGGCCGTCGCAGCACGAGCTGCTCGCCAGCCCGCAGCTCTCGCCCTCGGCGGCGCACGTGTTGCTCGCGTCGGACTTGACGCACGCCGTCTCCTCGTAGCAAGAGAGGCCGTCGCAGCACTTCCCGGAAGCTAGCGAGCAGCTCTCGCCCTCGGCGGCGCACGTGGCGCCGGCCACCGGCGCCTCGGCTCCGCCGTAGCATCGGTGGAGCGTGAATGGCGCGGACCCAAAGCCAAAGCATTGCATCGGGCTGCCTGTTTCCTGATCTGGGCACTTCTTGCATTCGCTCACGCACTCCTCCTTCGATTCGAAAAGAATGGTGCCAGCCTCGTACGAGGCGCACTCGGCGTGGAAGACGTCGCGCGCGTAAGCGACGGACGCAGTGGCGATGATAAGAAGGCGGAACATCGTCGATTCGTGTGGCGATGGAGTTTTGCTCAAGACATCAACGAGACGGCAGCTGGGGCTAACATGAATTCAACTTCGAGCTTGGTGCTCACGTGCACCCGCAGGAGGCTCCAACACTACCCGAGTTTTAGCTTCTTCTTCAGCTCGTCCTGGAGGTAGGTCGCGACGCCCTTCTCTTCGATGGCGAGCTCCGCGACGAGCGGCGCGCTCGCGGCGATGAACTCGAACTCCGAATCCAAGGCCAGGCCGACGCCCTGCATCTGCGACATGGCGCGCGACGCGAAGGCGAGCGTCGCCGGGAGCTGGAAGTCGCCGAGCACCGCCGGCGCGCCGTCGCCCGCGTCGTCGCCCGGCTCGCCGGCCGCGACCGCGCGCTGCGCGCGCGACGTCACGAGCCCGCTGCGGAAGTTCGACGCGATCGTCGCCTCGACGGCGGCGCGGTCGAAGCCGTTCTTGACGACGCCCATGCGCTCGAAGGCGTCCACGGTCTTGGCCGCGTCCGCGTCGATGATGCCCTCGAGGAGCCCGAGCGCGCCCGCGGCCTCGTCCGCGCTGAGCGCGGCCGCCTGGCCAAAGTCGTAGAAGATGAGGCGCCCGCCCGGCGCGAAGCCGCCGTCCGCGGCCAGGTTGCCCGCGTGCGGGTCCGTGTTGAAGAAGCGGTGCTTGCAGAACTGGAGGAAGTACGCCTGGCCCAAACGCGTCGCGAGGCTCCGCGCGTCGAGCTCCGGGTCCGCCGCGATGGCGTCGAGGTCCTTGAGCGACACGCCGGGCAGGTACTCCATGGTCAGCACGGTCTCGCCGGAGAGCTCCGGGTAGACCGCGGGCGCCGCGACCCAGGGCACGCCCGAAAAGTCGCTCCGGAACCGCTCGCAGTGGCTCGCCTCGACGCGGTAGTCGATCTCGCGGTAGAGGAGCGCCGCGGCGTCGTCGAAGATGTCGAGCCACTTCTGTTCCACGCCGACCTTCCACTTGCGCCGGTCGAGGAACGCGAACATCTTCCGCAGGAGCGTGACGTCTCGATCGTAGATCTCCCGGAGCGCCGGCCGCTGGACCTTGACGGCGACGCGCGTGCCGTTGCGCAGCACCCCCAGGTGCACCTGGCCCAGGGACGCCGCGGCGACGGGTCTGTCGTCGACGCTCGCGAAGTGCGCGGCGTAGCGCGGGCCCAGACACCGCGCGATCTCCGCGCCGCCGCCGTCGAAGCCCGGCACGTCGTCCTGGAGCCGCTGCAGCGCCGCGGCCCAGGGCGTCTTCTCGAGCTCCTTGCGGCAGGACGCGATCTGCCCGAGCTTGACGTAGGTCGGGCCCAGCGCGATGAGCAGGTCCGCGACGCGCGCCGCGGCTTTCGACCGCACGGCGTCCGCCTTCGCGTCGCGCGACTTCCGTGCGTGGCGCCGCGCGCGCCACTCGGCGTAGAAGACGCGGCAGGCGCCGGCGCCGAGCTTCGCGCCCCGCGCCATGGGGTGCTTGGCGTAGTACTCCCAGCGCGACGTGTCCACCTCTTTCGCGGCGCGGAGCGCGGTGCGTCGCGGCGTGGCGGCTGGCTTGAGGAAGGCATGGGTTGTTGTTGAGGCGGCGATGGCGAGGAGCCAATACATACTACAATATGCCTTGGCCTTCCGCGCGCCCAAGCACGGCGGTGCGGCGACAAACAGCCCGCTCATCGTGGAGCTGGCGTGAATCGCAAGGTTCAGCGACGACTGCCACAAAAGTCCACAAAGGCGTTGCAGGCACAGAGCACTCAACGTCGAGCGTCGACCGCGGTCTCGTGCAGCACGCGAGGCGCTCTCGGCGTCGTCCATTGCACCGGAACTTGCTCGAGAAACGCGTGAAACCAGCAGAAGACACAAGCCGCAAAGCGCAGCCGCTCAAAAGCAGAGAGCAAAGCGCAGCCCGCAATGGCGGCGCAAATCACGGCGCGCATCGGTCGCATCGTCGCCGTGACGTCGTGCAAGGGCGGCGTCGGCAAGAGCACGGTCTCCTTCGAGCTCGCGAAGCGCCTCGCGGCGCGGGGCCTCCGCGTGGGCGTCTTCGACGCGGACGTCTACGGGCCGTCGCTGCCGACGCAGGTGCCCGACGACGTCTCGGCGCGCGGCGTCGCCGCGTCGGCCGACGGCTGGACCATGGAGCCCGCGGCGCACGACTCGCTCGCGCTCATGTCCTTCGGCTGGCTCGGGCGGCTGATGGGCGAGAGCGACGACGGCGAGGTCATCGACCCGCGCGGCGCGGGCACCGCGGGCGAGCTCAGCGTGCAGCTGCTGCACACGACGGCCTGGGGCGATCTGGACTACCTCGTCGTCGACACGCCGCCGGGCACGGGCGAGATCCCGCGCGCGCTCGCGGCGCGCGCGCGATTCTCGGGCGCGGTCGTCGTGACGACGCCGTCGCCGCTGGCCATCGCGGACGTCGTCCGCGGCGTTGCGATGCTCGCGAAATTCGACGTGCCCATACTCGGCGTCGTCGAGAACATGGCAACCTTCACCTCCGACTGCGGCAAGGTCTACCACCCCTTCGGCCGGGGCCAGCTCGACGCCGTCGTCGACGCCGTCGCGCGCGGCGGCGCCGCGCCCGAGGCCTTCGCGCTGCCCATCGTCGCCGCGGGCGCGCCGCGGGACCCGCTCGCCGCGCCGCTGGACCGCCTCGTCGACGCGCTCGAGGCCGCGCCGCCCGCGGAGGCCGTCGCGCTGCCCCAGCTCCTCTGGCACGAGCGGCCCCACTGGCCGGACAAACTGTTCTTCGCCGCCAAGGGCAAGGACCGGGTCATGCGCGGCGACCGCGACTTCAAGATCACGCCGCCGCGGCTCGACCGGTAACAGAAGGCCGTTATCGTCGCGCGCCGCGGCCGACGGGCTCCCGGCGGCCGACGCCCTGGCGGACGGCCCACTCGTCGCGGAGGCCCTGGGTCTCCGGCGGCAGGTCCTCGAGCACCTCCGCGACGAGGTCGCCGTGGTCCTCGCCCTCGTCGAGCGACGCGCCGAAGTCGCGGTTCTTGTACGCGTCCGCGTAGCCGAGCGCGTAGGCCTCGGCGATGTGCGGCGGCGGCCGCGACCGCGAGAACTCCTCGTGCGCGCCGAAGCGCGTCGGCCGCGCCTTCGCCCGGGCGCGGCCGCCGCCGCGCGACGAGAGCACGGCGATCGCGAGGACGCCGAGGCCCAGCTTCACGAGCGGCCGCCGCCAGAGCACTTTCAAGTTTTTTCGGACCTCGCTGAGGTCGAGGCGCCCCGCGGCCTGCCTGAGCGTGTGCATGAAGCCGAGCTGCTTGAGGTGCTCGGCCTTGAGCGCGTACTCTGTGTGCGGCGCCTCGAGCAGCTTGACGCGCAGGCGGCCGCCGCCGGGGTTGCCGATGAGGTAGACGACTTTGCCGTTGAGCTCCGGCCGCGACGTCCCGCCGATGACGAACTGCTGCGACTTGAGCACGTCGTCCACGTTGCTGCTGGAGGTCATGGTGCGCGGCGCGCCGACGGACGCCACCTATAAGCTATTGCCTTGACGCGTCTCTAAACGTAGGGGGCCCGGGGAGGAACCGCGGGAGTCGGAGTTTTAGCTATTGCCACAAGCTTGCTGCTCGCTGAAACTTTGCCGCGGCAAGGCAGACGAAAGGGGCTCGATTGGACGAGGTGGGTGCTCGCATCGGCTCGACGCGCCGCGCCGAGTCGAAGTTCTCGCGTGCCGGTCGGAGCTCGTGAGCGCACCGCGGCGCGGCCCTCAACGCTGGCCTCCTCACCGATCCACAAGAAGAGCAGCGGCTGGGGCGACGAACCGCGGACCGCCATGCGGAACCGGCTCGGCGACCTGCGCAAGGTCGGCGGCGGCGGCGCCGGCGACGTCGAGCTCGGCCACGTGTCCGTGGACATCCCGCCGGAGACGGGCCTGAAGGCGGCCAAGTCGCCCGGCGGCGGCGGCGGCAGCTTCATGGCGACGTTCTTCGGGCAGGTCGACGACGTCAAGGAGGGCATCAACGGCATCAAGGCCGCGACGAAGCGCATCCACGCCATCACCGACGAGCGCATGCTCGCCGTGTCCAACGCGACGGAGGAGCAGCTGAGCCGCGAGCTCACGCCGCTCGTCGACAAGACGAACCGGCGCGTCAAGGCGACGAAGGAGCTGCTGCAGCGCATGTCCGACGAGACGGCGTCGGCCAAGGGCACCGTGAAGCAGAGCGAGTTCCGCATCCGCGAGAACCTGGCGAACACGCTCATGCGCAAGTTCGGCGACGTCTGCAAGGACTACCAGCGCGAGCAGCAGCGCTACAAGAGCGAGATCCAGAAGACGGTGAAGCGGCAGCTCGAGATCGTCAAGCCCGACGTGACGCCCGACGAGATCGACACGGTGCTCCGCAACGGCGGCACGTCCGAGGTCTTCCGGTCCGCGATCCTCAAGGGCGCGGCGGACCCCATCAAGAGCGCCTACGCGGACGTCGCGGACAAGTACCAGGACGTGCTCAAGCTCGAGCAGTCCGTCGCCGAGCTCCACCAGATGTTCCTCGACTTTGCTTTGCTCACGGAGCAGCAGGGCGAGCTCCTGGACCAGATCGAGTACCAGGTCAAGTCCGCGGGCGAGTACATCGAGGACGGCAACACGGACATCCAGTACGCGATCCAGTACCAGAAGGAGATCCGCAAGCGCTACTGCTGCCTCATCGTCATCATCCTCGTCATCGTCCTCGTGCTCCTCGTCGCCATCGGCGCGTTCAACACGGGCGGCGACAAGTAGGGCGCCGCCGTTAACAGTAGAGGCGCTTCGCGCGGACGACGGCCCAGTCGACGAAGGCGACGACCGTCGACACGCCGCCGACGATGGCGCAGACGCGGACGAGGAAGTGCGCGAGCGAGCTCCGGTGCCGCGTGACCTCGACCATGAACGCGGAGAAGTCGTAGACGAGGAAGATGCCCGGGAGCATGGCCGTCGGGCTCGTCGCCTTGGCGTGGGCGAGGTGGTTCATGACCAATTCCTCCTGGGACGGCGGCTGGTTGTGGAGCGGCCGGAACCGCTGCGTGTACGAGTAGCGGACCGTCCGCACGGGCGCCGCGTCGGGCGCCGCGCGGTAGATCGTCGGCACGAGCTTGATGAAGTACTGGAAGAGGCCCGTGCCCGTGGCCGCGTCGACGATGCGCGACGTGCCCGACAACGGCAAAGCCATGCCGTCGTAGGTCTCGCCGAACGCGAGGTCGTGGATGACGTGCGACACGTTGAACTCGGGCGCGCGCGTCGGGTCGAACTGGTGGACGAAGCGGCCGTTCTGGATGGCGGATTCGCCCATGGCGACGTGGACGTTGCCCGCGACCTTGTTGACCTCGAGCCAGCCCGCGAGGTTGCAGCCCTCGCCCTTCTTGATCGCGCGGATGCTGTCGTCGCGCGTGTCGTCGACGCACTGGGGCGCCTCCTTCTTGATCTCCTGGGCGGACCAGCCCTTGTTCCCGTAGGCGCGCAGCAGCTCGTCGCAGGTGTTGCAGCAGGGCTGCTCGGCCGTCTCCGCGCCGAAGCAGCTCTGGCAGCCCGCGCCCGTGTCCTCGGGCCCGTGCTCGTACTCGTTCGCCCGCTCGGGGATGGCCCGGTGCGGGATGGGCGACCCGCGGCCGTCCAGGCGCTGCTTCGTCATGTGCTGCTCCATGTAGGGGTGGTAGTCGCCCGCGACGTCCATCGCGTCCAAGTGGACCTCGGCGCACGTCAGCGCGGGGAACGTGATGTTCAGGCCGATCTTGAGCCGCTGGCCCATGGACCGGTCGACGACGACGTGGTCCCGCTCCTCGACGCGCAGGAAGACGAGCAGCTCGCAGAGGAAGAGCAGCGCCATGACCCAGTGGCCCACGGTCAGCGACACCTTCGCCGCCGGGCTCGGGGCCGTCGTGAACTCCGCGGCGATCTTCCGGTTGCTGTACATGTCCAGCGACTTGAAGACGCTCTCGACCTGCTTCCGCGCGCTACCCGGCGCCGCCGCCGGCGGCTCGTCCTTGTCAAAGCCGCGTCTGCGCATCGTCGATTTGCTGTGGCGAGGCCTGGGGTTTGTGGAGAAGTGAGATAGAAGTGGCGAGTGAAGGATCTTGAAGCCGGGGTCCCGCCTCGCAGTGGCGGTTTTTGCGATGGCCCGTGCGCGCGAACGCGGCCGTCCCTATTTGGGAAACTTTGCAGGCCGCGAGAGGACCCTACTGAGAGTGCGTGTGCAGCGTATCGAGGCGCGGGAACCCGAACGCGTCGCGAAACCAGCCCGTGCGCTCCGCAGTGCAAACCAGTGGAGGTCGGTCGACGGGACCGCCTTCCGCGCCGCGCGCGACTACGGCGGCTGCTGCGAGCGCTTCGGAGGGTCCACGAAGGTACTGCGGACGGGGCGCGACGTCGAACATCGTCCCGACGCACGTATTTCGACCGCGGACTGGCGCTCAAAGCGCGCAGCGAGACGCTGGCGGGCGAGTTCGCATCGATGACGGCGGTTCCAACGATCTCTGGCTGCTGCGGAGGCCGCCCTTGACTACCACAACACCTGCGACGCGAAGCGCACGACCCTGGGACCCGTCGACGTCCCGCGACACGCCGACGGTTTCGGGGTCGTTTTCGGTGCCCGAGACGCGTTTTTTTCGCCGACGAGAAAACGCTGCCGTCGCGCGGTCTTTTTGGCCAGACCGTCGCGTATGGTCATGGCGACGTGCGCGCGGCCCTTTAGAGCGCCGAAAATGACTCGTATGTCGTCGCGTAAGGGTCGGTTTTGGGCTGGATTTCCTCTAGGGATCGGACGAACGCCATCCGATCGCTGCAACACCCTCACCGTTGGGCGTGAGAGTTTGCTGGGGCCTTCCTTAGACGTACCCGCCGGTACTGACCGTTTTTCCGAAATAGGGACGACCGCGTTCGCGCGCACGGGCCGACGCCGGGAGGCGGGACCCCGGATATCTTGACGCGGGGGTTGCCGTCGAGCCAACTAAGTCGGAGCCAAACATGGCCGCCAGCGCAGCGTTGAAGCGCCTCGTCCTCGCGCTGAGCGCCCTGGCGGCGTGCGCGCTGCGCGCGACGACGCCCGCGGTCCGCGCGACGGCGCCCGCGAGGCCAGCGGTCCCGCGGCGCCTCGCCCTGGACCGGCGAACGACGATCGCCACGGTCGCCGCCGGCGCGCTCGGGGCGCTCGGCGGCCGCCCGTCGGCCGCGCGGGCGGAGCCGGAGCAGGCGAACAACAACGTGGTCCTCGTGCTGCGCGTGCAGGAGGCGTGCTCCCAGGAGAAGCGGCTCATCAAGAGCGGCAAGTTCAAGGACGTGCAGCGCGCGAACATCAAGCTCGCCGTGAACCTCATGCTGACGAACTACGCGCTCCTCGACAACGTGAACCAGGCGTCGACGCTCGCGCGGGGCCGGTCCCAGGAGGCGCTCAACGTCGGCGTCGGCGCCGTCGAGGCCCTACAACAGGTCCTCGACTACTTTGACAGCTCGTCGAAGAGCCTCAAGGTCGACACGATCTCCAGCGAGAAGCAGGAGTTCGTCGTCAAGGCCCTGGACGTCGCCGCGCAGCGCATCGACAGCTTCCTCACCTACCTCCCGGCCGCGCAGGTCGACAAGGCGAAGGCCCTCATCGCCTACGAGAACGACCTCAACCTCAAGGAGTACGCCGAGCAGAACAAGGGCGAGAAGTACCTCAACCCGACGCCCGGCGCGTAGGGTATAACAACCTGCTCGGGACTCGGCGAGCCGCGGCGCGTCACGCGAGGAGGAGCTTGGAGCTCGACTTGGGGATGGGGCTGCCGAACCAGGACCGCGGACTGCCGTAGAGCGGGTCGCGCTCCGACAGGATCGTCAGGGCCGAGATCGTGCAGATCACGCAGTTGGAGCCCTCCTCGTGCATGTTGAACTCGTCGAGCGCGATGACGGAGCCGACCTGGAGCTTCCCGTCGTGGATGAGGTGGTTGAGCCGCGGGTGGATCGTGAACTGGGCGTGGTACCGAATGGAGTCGCTCAGGCCGCACTGGTACCGGTCCGTGCGGCCCTGCGGGTTCCGCGCGACCTCGAAGGAGCTCCGCGCGCAGTTGATGGCCTCGACGCTCACGACCTGCAGCACGGGCCGCTTCGGGATCTTCCGCTGCCAGCCGCGGACGTTGACGATCTGCTCCACGGCGTGCAGCGTGCACGGGTTCGGCCCGGCGACGCGCTCGAACCTAGGAGGGGGTGTGGGCATCGGCGCGCCGCGAGGCTTCTGAGTCCCCAGGGCGCCATGGCTTTGCTATCGTTGCCGAGAGGCTGCCTCTCGCTCGTCTCTCGCGTGGAGAAATGTCTCGTTTTTTTCCGAGACGCGGGAGCGCACTCCTCGCGGGTCGGCGACGACTCCGGCGGGATGTCGATTTGCACGCCCATGCCCGCGAGTCGGTCGTCTTCGGGTTTGCGGCGGCAGAGTCTCGGTGGAGTTAATCTCACGGAGGTTGTAGTTGCAAATGATATTCAAGATGAGCCTGAGGAATTGCACAAGAGAGCCTGACAGAGAGGTGGTGCCTCAATTCAGCCGCACCATCACCTGGCAGCCCGCGCCGTCGCCTGGCAGCCCGCGCGACGCCTAGTAATAACAGCAAAAATGACCGATGAACCGCCGCCGCCGATTGTCATCGCGGATCCGGCGCTCCTCGCGCTGCCGCCGCTCGCCGACGGCGAAGTGGTCCGCGACTCCGGCGACCGCGCCTGCGTCAAGCCGGAGGCGCCCTGCCCCGTCATGTTCGGCGCCATGCACAAGCTCCTGGGCCACAAGGACGTGCGCGGCCGCGGCTCCCACGTGCCGGCGGTGACGCACTGCGACCCCTTCGTGCTCTGCGACGCGATCCGCCTGCCCAAGGGCGCGCGGCCGCCGTTCTGCGCGCACCCGCACAGCGGCGTCGGCGTGATGACGTTGCTGTTCCAGTGCGCGGGCGGCATGCGGCCCTGGGACAACCTGAACGGCCCGGAGGCGGCGCCGCTCCTGCCCGGCGGCGTCTACCACGTCGACACGGGCGCCGGCTGCGTCCACGACGAGCCCATGGACCCGCTGGCCGCGTCGCTGCCGACGATGCGCGCCAACTTCGACGGCGGCGCGCCGGCGCCCGCGGCGTCGCCCGGCGCGCACGCCTGGCTCATGCAGCTCTGGTACAACGCCATGGCCATGGACGGCGCGTCGGACGCGCCGCTCCGGCCGCCGAGCACGCGGGTCCGCGACCCGGCGGACGTCGCCGTCGTCGCGCAGGACGACGGGCTCCGGGCGCGCGTGCTCGCGGGCGCCTACCGCGACGCGGCCGACGGCCTGCGCGCGGCGCACCCGCTGGTCGTGCTCCACGTCGAGGTCGCGAAGGCGGGCACACTCGGCCCCTTGCCCGCGGGCCACAACGGCTTCCTCTGGGTCCTGGACGGCAGGCTCGGCGCCGGCGACGTCGAGCTCGAGTTCGGCGCCGAGGGGCTGTGCCTCCTGCCGCCCGGCGGCACCGCGCTCCGCCTCCGGAACCTCGGGGACGCGCCCGCGCAGGCGCTCGTCGCGCTCGGCGCGCCGCACCGCCGGCCCTACGCCAAGTACGTCGGCTACGGCGGCGGCTTCGTGCATCGCGACGCCGCGGGCGTCGAGGCGGCCATGGCCGAGTACGAGCGCGACCCGAGGCACTACGGCCGCGCGGCCGCGGGCGCGACGCGCGCCGTCGACACGTCGCACCTCGACCTCGTCGGCGGCTTCCAGGACAACGGCGGGCCCATGCTGGAGCGGCCCGACGGCGTCGTTGCGAGGTTCAAGAACAGGGGCAGCTCGACGGAGGCGTAATTTTGCGAGGGCCTCGGACGTTGCATAAACATTGAACCGACCTTGAAGGTCCAGGGGCAGCCCCGCGCTGCGATGGTGCGCGGCGCCCTCGCACTGGCCCTCTTGGCCGCAGGCACCGCCGCGCCGTGCTTCTTCGAAGTGCTCATCGACGGCGCGTGCATCGTGTCGCGCTTCGACGCCGTCGACGGCGCCGACGTCGACGCGGCGGCGAAGGGCCTCGCGGCCCTGCTGCCGCTGGACGCGCTCGCCGGCGGCGGCTGCGGCGGCGACGCGGCCTGCGCGCAGCGCGCCGTGCGCGCGGGCTTCGAGGGCGCGCGCGACGCGTGCCTCGCGCGCGGCGTCGGGAGCCCGTGCCTCGACGTCGTCGACGCTTCCGGCGCGCGCGGCGCCGTCGCGCTCTGCGTCTTCGACGCCGGCGCCGACGTCGCGCCGGCCGAGGCGCTCGTCGCGCCCATCGCCGCCGCGCGCGGCGGCGTCGAACTCCTCGTCCACGCGCGCGAGCCGTCGAAGGTCGCCGTCGCGTTCGACGGGGCGACCGCGGGCGGCGACCTCGCCGCGGCCGCGGCCGCGTGGGCCGTCGCGCGCGGCCTGCCCGCGGAAGTCGCCCCGGAACTTGCCGCCGCCGCTTCGGACGCCATCGCCGGCCTGCACGTCAGCTGGATGGTCGGCGGCCTGCCGCTCGCGCGCGCGCTCCAAGGGCCCGCGGCGCCGTTTGCGGCGCGCGCGGCCGCGTACCTCGGCGTGAGCGAGGCGTCCTTCGGCCACGTCGCCGAGTTCTGGCTCCGGCGCGACGCGCTCTTCCTCGACGCCCTCGCGCGGCGCCTCGGCGGCGCGAAGCTCGCCGTACTCGACGTCGGCTCGGGCACGGGCGCGCTCGGCGCCGTCGTCGCCGCGATCCTCGACGCGCCGCGCGCGCTCTTCGTCGACGTCGACGATCCCGACCAGCGGAACCGCGGCGGCGGCGCGGCCGCCGTCGCGACGTACGCGCGGTCCTTCGACGGCTTCGCGGAGCGGCGGCCCGTCGTCTGGTTCGACGGGCGGACCGTGCCCGCGCCGGACGACTCCTACGACGTCGTCTGCTTCACCTACGTGCTCCACCACGCCGCGGGCGCGACGATCAAGCTCCTCCGCGAGGCGCGGCGCGTGTCGAAACGCTACGTCGTCGTCCTCGAGGACCTCCAGGAGACGGCCGCCGACGCGGAGAACGCGCACGCGCACGAGCCCCTCGGCGCGTTCCGGACGCGCGAGGAGTGGGTCGACCTCTTCGTGCTCCTGGGATTTTCCGTCGCGGACCACGGGCCCTGCAACGCCGGCGGCCTCGCGGGCTTCCGCCACACGATGGCGTTCTGGATCCTGGAGAAGGTTCAGGACGCGCCGCCGCGGCGTCGCCGGCCGGCGCGGAGGCGGCGCGTCTCCGAGTTGCGGCGCGAGCTCGCGGCGACGTAATCGCTTCAACCTGTGGCGTTGGAATTCCCACCTAATGCTTTCGTGCCTACGAAAGTTTCCTCCTCGCAGTGGCGGACCGCCCACTGCGCGGGAGTGCATCTGAGTGCTCGACGGCATCACGGCACCTTCACAGTTTTCGCCCAGAAGTCAACGGTCGGACTCAGTATGGAGGGCAGCACAACAACAGCCCCCTACGTGCCCTGGTCCGAGGAGGAGTCGTCGGACGAGGAGCCGCCGGCGACGGATCTGCCGTCGCGCACTGTGCCCTGGACGCCGTCGGCGTCGGAGACGGCGTCGCGGCCCCAGTCGCGCATGGACACGGCCAGCACGTCCCGGCCCCAGTCCGAGGCGGCGTCGCGGTCGTCGTCGCGGCCCCAGTCCGTGCTCAGCCAGCTCAGCGACCGGCTGAACCGCATGGGCGGCGTCATCTCGCGCGGCACGCCGAGCGGCACGCCGAGCGCGGGTCTGTCGGGCCTCGCGGGCGCGACGCCGCCGACGACGGCGCCCGAGCCGGAGCCGGAGCCGGAGCCGGAGCCGGAACCGATGATGAAAAAGAAGCGCACGCCGCGCAAGACGCCGCGCAAGACGCCGCGCCACCGGTCCGTGTCGCCGGAGCCCGACTGGGTCGACGCGCTCGGCACGCTCGAGGACCCGTCGAAGACGCCGCGCGCCTGGGAGGCGGAGCCCGTGAGCGTCGGCGTCGTGCGCAAGCACTATCGGCTGCGGCGCCAGGGCGAGGAGGCCGCCGCGCGGGCCCGCGTGCGCCGCGACAACGAGCTCAAGGGCAAGTTTCGCCGGTCCGGCGCGCGGGCCGACGGCGCGATGTCGTCGTCGTCCGACGACGACGACGACGAGGCGTCGAAGCCCGTCGTCGTCGACGACCCGGAGATCACGAAGCTGTACGGGTTGGCCTACGGCGCGGTGGCGAACGACGCCGGAGCGCGGGACGCGTTGGTCGCGCGCGTCGACGCGGAGCTGCGGAGCGGCGGGCCCGTGCTCCTCGTGGCGCACCCGGACGACAACGACGGCGAGGCTGCGAACTGCCGGCTGGTGCTGCGCACGCTCCACGCGGCGTGCAACCCGACGCTGACGGACCCCATCCCGCCCGTGCCCTTGGCGCGCGCGGACGGCTCCGTCGCGATGAGGCTCGACCCGAAGCGGCGGCGCGAGCACGCGTTCCCGCTGCCGATCCCCGCGCCGGAGGGGCGGGGGCGGCTGTCGGTGTTGTAAACAAAAAAAAGACCTGGAACTGCAACGCCTACTGCAACGCCACTGCAATGAGGCACGTGACGAGCTCTTGAGGCGATCCCCGCTGATCTCAGCCTGCGCGCCTCGTGCCGCACCGAAGCGCGCGAAATGCGGCTCGTCCTCGCGCTCCTCGCGGGCGTCGGCGCCCTCCAGGGCGCCCCCAAGGCGCTGAAGAACCCCTTGAACGAGTTTCGAAAGAAGCTGGCCCAGTGGAGCCTCGAGGACGCGGCGATGCGGCGCGAGGTGCAGAAGGAGATGCGGCGCGAGGAGCTCGTCGGGGAGCCCGACGCCGTGGACGCGTTCCGGCGGCTCCAGAAGTTCTACGCGACGATCCTCGACGAGGAGGAGTACCGGGCGGCGCGCATCGTCGAGGGCGGCGGCGGCATCGTCCGGCCCGCGGAGGCGCCGCCGGACGTCCGGGGCCCGCTCGGCGACTGGGAGCAGCGGATTTCCGAGCTGCGGCCCGAGGACGTCGTCGCCGGCGCGCGGACGTTGGTCGCCGACGCCGCGGCGGCCGCGCGGCGCGAGTGGTCGCGCGTCGAGACGGCGGAGCGGTCGCGCGGCCGCATGGCGGACGTCACGGGCGTGCGCCAGCGGCCCCTCGACGCGCCGCCGTCGCTCCTCGGCGACATCGAGGGCTTCGTCACGGCCCTCTTCGTCGAGGAGCAGGCGCGGACGCGCGACGGCGGCGCCGTGACGACGCGGCCGCGCGACGTGCCCGCGCGGTACCGGGGACCGCTCGCGTCGTTCGAGCGCCGCGTCGAGGCCTACCTCGACGTCGTGCGCAACTACGAGCGGCGCCGCGTCGAGATCATCCGCGAGAAGATCCCGCGGCCCAAGGACGCGGACCCGACGTCCGTCGCGGGCGTCGTCGAGGCGTTCCTCAACGGCCTCGCGCGCGGCCCGCTCCTCGTCCGCGCCGTCGTGCTCCGCGTCACGGAGCTCGTCGAGGCGGCGCTGCTGCCCGTGCTCCCGAACGAGTACGACGCCGACTACGACGACGACGCCGCGTTCGCGCGCGCCACGAAGCGCGGGCCCGGCGGGCCGCGATAAGAGAACACGACGTCCTTCTTAGAGCCAGCCCGGCCCGCCCTCCTTGCAGTGGTGGCCCTGGAGCTCCTTGAGGTGCTTCTTCCGCGCGGCCGCGGCGTCGGCGGTGTCGTCGGCGAGCCGGCGCCTCGAAGAGCACGACGTCGCCGTCGCGTAGGGCGCGCCCGCGGTCGAGTTGGCGACGGCGGCCCAGTTGGACACGGACTCGAAGACGTTGTGCGCGTGCTGCTTCACGGGGAGGTGGGGCGCGTCGTGGCGGAACCGGCCGCCGGGCACGCCGAGGAACCGCTCGACCTTGGCGAGCGCGCCGCGCCGCCGCTCCGGCGCGCACAGGTCCGCCTCGTACCAGAGCTCGAGCAGCGCCGGCCGGTCGTCCGCGTCGAGGCTCGCGACGGCGCGCCGCGCGTAGGCCGCGAACGCGGCCTCGTGGTCCCGCCACGCCTCGAAGAGCTCCGGCGAGATCGCGACGTCGAGCTCGCGGACCTTGACGCGCGCGCTGTCGGCGTAGGTCGCCCAGACGTTGGACTTTTGCGCGAGGCAGATGGAGATGTACTGCTCGAGCGCGTTCGAGCGCTGGAGCAGGACGACGTGCGTCGCCCACTCCAAAAACACGGGCAGGTTCTCCCACTCGAGGTGCTTGCTGAAGAGCTTGAAGCCGACGACGGGCGCGCGCGTCGACGCCGTGGCCGCGATGGCGTCGAGCAGCTCGCCGGGGCGGCTCCGCCGCCGGCCGAAGACGTCGTCGCGCACGCTCACGTTGCCCGCGAAGCCGTCCTTGGCCGACGCGCGGAGGTCCGACGCGTGGAAGGGCTCGCCGTGCATGAGCACGTCGTCGTGGGTCCGCAGCATCTCCACGAGCAGCGTGCTGCCGGACCGCGGCGCCGACAGAAGCACGAGCTTCGCCGTCGTTTTGGTGGTCGTGGTGTTGCGCGAGATCGTGCCGTTGCGCCAGCTCGCCGCCGCGCCGAGGAGCGCCGCCGTGATCGCAAACGCCAGCCACGGGCGCACGCCGCGCATGTTTATAATTTGAGCATCACACTCTCCGTTTGGGCAGCATTATGGTCTCTCCATGCTGTGTTTTTAGCGCGGCTGCATCATGCAGGGGAAACATCACGTCAACAAAACATTAGATGACGCCGTAGCTTATGGGGCAGCCTTCGGAGACGCGCGGGGGTGGTTTCGCGCAGCGGCCGGTGGTGGAGCTCGCCGCGTTGGGTCCGGTGGGCGCTCGGGGAGGAGCGTCCCGCTGCGCGCGTCGATTGGGCGGCGGGGCGCCGCGCGCGAGAGCTTGCAGTGCTTGGCCGTCGGCGCGGCGTCGTCCACGGGCCCGGGGGGCTGCCGCGCGCGCTCGCTTCGTTCGGATGCCTTCGGCGTGAGTCTCGGGGGGGGCTGGTGGGGTCGGCGCCCTCGGTGGCTTCGGTGTGCGGGCTTCGATGTGCCCGTGTCCATTCGTTTCTTTGCATTCTGCAGCGTCTCCTCGTAGCGTGGCGCTCTGTGCGGTTCCGTCGACGTCGGCGTCTTTGCTCTCTTCGGTCCCGCTGACTACGGGTGTCCTCTTCGGCGGTGCCCTCGGCTAGCCACTTGTGGTCCTGAGGTTGAATCGGCCTGGTCGAGCCGGACGTCCTGTCCCCGTGCACGGAGGTGGTGGTCTTTCTCAATCCCCCCGCTCCCGAGCCCTCCCCGCGGCGAGATCGGCCTTGAGACAACCCAAAGAGTTCTCGCAGGATGCTACTGCCTTGCGCCAATCCCGGCGTGCTCTCGGCGTGGCGGCCGGTACCAGGCTTGGCGCGAGTGTACCGCCGCCACACCTCCGATCCGAGTGCACGCGCGATCTTTGGGTCGGAGGCGGGGGCCGGTGTGGGAACGCCAACCCCCCGGCTACGCCTCCGTCTGAGCCTCCGGGCGGGATCTTCGGGTGCGCACCCCCTTCAATAACTTGGTCAACATCACACTTGGTAATTCACCCAGTTCTGCCCAGCCTCGACCGCCGTCCTGTCGCGTGTGGGTGTGCCCGAAAACCTCGATGGCTTTGCGACTCTTCCGCGCGATCGCTGTCGCGACGACCCTGGCGGTCGGCGCCGTCGGCGGCAAGTCGACGTGCGAGCGCCTCGACGGGGCGACGGCGATCTTCGCCGACATGCACGACGGCGACCAGAAGGCCGTGGAGATCTCCGGAGACACGCTGACCATCAAGCCCCACGGGAACGACGAGACGTGGGAGGTCGTCGCCGCGCTCGACCTGCAGTATTGCAACGCGTCCATCGACTTCAACGTCCCGGGCAAGCCGTCGCCGCCGCCGGTCAACCTCACGGCGGAGCTGTGGTCGATGCAGGCGCCCGAGCTGAACCTCGCCAACTACGCGCTGAAATTTGTGGACCACACGGGCACGGTGGGCACGGGGCCCCTCAACATGTGGGTCCAGATCGCCTGAGCCCCCAGTTTTATAAACCGCGGCGTCCCGCCCGGCCCTGGACCGGTCCGCGTCGGCGCGCGCGCTGCCGGCAGCGCTGCAGTGCGCGTTGCGCGAGCCTCGCGAGGCGCGCGGCGTGGGCGCGCGCGGCGTCGCCCGCGAGCCTCGCGAGGCGCATCGCGCGGGCGCGCGCGGCTTCGCCAAAGGCCCGGAGCGCGGGCGCCGCCGCCCGGAGCCGCGCGCGCGCGAGCGCGCGGACCCCGGCGAACGCGGGGCCCGTCGCCGCGTGGGCGAGGCCCAGCGTCGCGCCGGCGACGGCCGTCTCGCGCAGGACGACGCGGAGCGCGCCCCCGGCCGGCCGCGCGGGCGGCGCCGCCGCCGCGGCCGCCTCCGCCGGGGACGGCGGCGGCGGCGCGACGGGCGCCGGCCGCGGCCGCGGCGCGAGGGCCGAGCGCCCGCTCGCCGCCAGGCACGCGCCCAGGAGCAGGGCCATGGCGACGTGGTGCGACGCCGCGGCGTCGCCCTTCCGCGGCCGCTCGGCCTCGGCGACGACGGCGACGACGGGCGACGGCGGCCGCGGCGGCGCGAGGGCCGGGAGCCTGGGCGCGTCGCGCCGCGCCGACGGCTTGGGCGCGCGCGGGTCGTAGGGATCCGCGAGCTTCCGCGGCGGCGGCGACGGCGGCGCGGCGTCCGAGCCGCCGCTCGCCTCGCCGCTCGCGTCGTCGGCGACGTCGTAGGACGCGCGCCGCACGACGACGTCGCCGGCGCCGTCGTCGGACTTGGCCGACGGCGACCGGGGCACGACGGCGTGGTCGGGCGGGCTCGCGGAGTCGCGGTATTCGTAGAGGTCCGGCTCGTCGTCGCTCAGCGACTGGCCGAAGGCGGGCGGCGGCTCGGCGGCGTCCTCCCGCGTGAGGATGATCTCCTTCCGCGCGATGGGCGTCGGCGCGTTGTCGAGGTACTGCTCGAAGGTCGTCGACAGGTGCTTCGGCGGCGGCGGCGGCTCGCGCTTCTGCGGCGACGGGCTCCGGTTCGAGAACGACTCGTAGCTCGCCCAGAGCGACCGCTCGGCCCGCTCCCGGCTCTGCGACCGCGGCGGGCTCGCCGCCCGCGGCGCCGGCGCGCGCGCCCGCTCGAGGCTCGACACGCTCTTCGACCGCGGCGACCGCGGCGGCCGCGGCGCCGCGGCCGCCGGCGCGGGCGCGGGCCGGGACGCCGGGGGCACCAGGCCGCTCTGGCGGCTCAGCTCGTCGATGCGCCGCAGCCGTTGCCGCCGCTCTTCCTCGGCGCGCAGCGCCTCGAGCTGCGACTTGGCGCTCGAGGTCTCGCCGAGGCGCGCCTCGCTCGCCGCGCGCCGCTGCTCCGACCGGCCCTTGCGCGCCTCGGCGAGCTGCTTCCGGTCCGCCTCGAGGCTCGCCATCCGCTCCCGCAACATGGCTTGGTTCCTCGCGACCATGGTTCTCAGGGCAGCATGCTGCCCTCGATCTTCAAGCTTTCATTCTGTTTTCGGGGCAGCCCATTGCGCGGAATGATGGGCAAGCCAGGCCAGCAAACCCCAAACACAAAGCAACCAGTAAGCGGCGACGCACCACCCAGCAACGTAACATGTCGACGACGAAGCAGTCCCTGTCCGCGGCGGCCGGCGCGAAGCTGGCGGCCTACACGAAGCCGCAGAAGAAGCACCTCGCCTTCGGCTTGGCCATGGGCGTCCTCGGCGTCTTCGCCATGGGCGCGCTCGGCTCGCCGGACTGGACGAGCTGGGAGCTCAAAGCCGGGGGTTTTGAGATCGAGTGGTCCGCGGGCCTGTGGGAGTACGCGCAGGAGGGCGACGTCCAGGACGACGGCGGCAAGGTCGAGGCGAAGGTCGACGGCCGCAAGTTCCGCAACTTCAAGGCCTACGAGCTGAACCGCTTCACGACGTTCTTCGCCTTCCTGAGCCTGGCGGCCATGGCCGTCTACCAGATCGCCGCGGGCTGCCTCGGATTGGAGAAGTACGCGGCGCCCGTCGGCTACGCGAGCGCCGCTCTGCTCTTCGTCCTCGGCTTCCTGCTGATCGTCGGCGCGGGCTACTTCGGCACGCGCATGGAGGAGAACCCCTACGTCGACGACCCCGACGAGGTCGCCCACTGCGACCACGGCTGCGGTTTGGCCGCGCTGACGGGCGTGCTCGCCTTCCTCCTCGGCTTCGCCTTGCTGTACGCGACGCTCGCGACCGACGAGCGCGCGGAGAAGATCCACGACTCCGCCGTCGTCCAGGACATGGAGGCGGGCATCAAAAAGCTCAAGGCCGGCGTCGGCAAAAAGATGACCAAGCTCCGCGGCTCGTCCAAGGCGCCCGCGCCCGACGGGCCGCCAGCGGCCTACGCGACGGCCGCGGCGACCGAGGCCGAGGCCGCGGAGGCGCCGGCCGCGGAGACACCCCCCGCCGAGCCCTAGAAACGTGTGCTGTTCCGAACCCTCTCCCGCGCGTGCGTCTAAGAGGCCTGTTTTCGCTTATGAAGTGCGCTGGCCGCGACGTGATTGAAGTTCACGTTGAACCAGCTAAACCAGCGATTCACCAGTGGCACCCCTCAACACGAGCATGCCTCGACGCGGCAAGCCAGCACGGCAGGAGACGCACGCGCCGCCGCCGGACGGCGAGGAGGAGCTCTACGCTTCTCAGCAGTACTGGCGGCAGCGCTACGCCACTTGCGCGCCGGAGACGGACACCTTCGAGTGGTTCTTGGATTGGGAGAGCCTCGCGCCGCTCCTCGACGGCTGCCTCAAAAAGAAGCACGACGTCCTGGACGTGGGCTGCGGCGCGTCGACGCTGCTCATGGACATGCGCGCCGCGGGCTACGGCGGCCGCCTCGTCGGCGTCGACTACGTCAAAGAGGCGCTCGACGTCGTCCGCGCGGCCGCGGCGGCCGCGCGCGTCGACCTCGTCGTGGGCGACTGCCGGGACCTGGACTTTTGCGACGGCGATTTCGACGCCGTCGTCGACAAGGGCACGGTCGACGCCATGATCTCCGGCGGGCCGGACGCCGTCGTCGCGGCCTGCGCGGAATGCGCGCGCGTGCTGCGGCACGGCGGCCGCTTCGTCGTCTGCAGCCACCACAGAGCCGATGCCGACGGCGACCTCGACGACGACGCCTGGCTCGGCGCCGTCGTCGGCGGCCTCGCGTCGCGCGACGAGGCCGACGCGGCCGCGTGGCGCCTCGACGTCCACGCGCTCGCGGGCGCGGCCGAGGGCGACGCGCCCTGCGTCTACGTCTTCACGAAGTGCCGCAGCCACCGCGGCGCCGGCCTCGAGGTCGAGTTCCACGAGCACGGGTAGGCCTTGTGTTTTTCTTACCTGGTCCGGGGGGGCAACATCGCAAGTTGAATGGCTGCGAGCAGTCCGATTGCGCGCAATTGCGCATCGATTGCCGCAAACCACGACGGCTGCTACCGATGCGCTGTAGCTAGCAATTGCACCGCTGCGCAGCGCCTTGCTGCGGCAATCCAATTGCACCGCTGCGCAGCGCCTTGCTGCGGCAATCATGCTCGCGATCGCAGCGCTCATCGTCACCATCGCGAATGCGGCGACGACGCGGCGGCCGCTGCCCTTCGAGGCGCGGTCGCCGCCGCGCCGGGGCCCCTTCTTCAACGGCTGGTGCCTGCGCGCCATGGACGAGACGGGCTGCTCGGCGACGGCCATCGTCGGCTGCTTCTCGCGCGGCGCCCGCGCGGAGCACCTCGTCGCCGTCGCCGCGCGCGCGCGGACGCCGGACGGGGGCTTCGAGACGGCATGCGCGCAGCGCGTCTACGGCGGCGACGAGTGCCGCCTCGACGGCGCGCCGCGCGGCGCGGGCCCGAGCCTGCGCTTCGAGGCGCCCTGCGGCGTGCTCGCGGCCGACGGCGGCGACCTGCGCGCGACGTTCGCGCTGCCCGGCGGCGACGGCCGCGACGTCGCCGTCGACCTCGCGGCCGCGGCGTCGTCGCCCTGGGCCGCGGGCGGCGGGCCCGAGGGCTGGCTCGGCCGGCGGCTGACGGGCTGGGCCCTGCCCTGCCGCTACGCCGTGCGCTGCGTCGACTCGCCCGCGGTCGCCGCCGCGACCGCGGGGTCGTCGCGGTGGGCGAGCTCGTCGGCGCTCCTGCACGCGGAGGCGAACCACGGGCGCTCGTTTCCGAAGCAGTGGGTCTGGTGCCAGGGCGCGGCCCGCGGCCGCAGCGTGCTCGCCGTCGGCGGCACGTTCCGGGTCGGGCCGCTGCCTTTGGCGGACACGTGGCTCGTCCGCTACGCGTCGCCCGCGGTCGGCGAGTGGGCCTTCCGCACGACGGATCTGCGGACGACGGCGACGTCGGACCTCGCGCCGCCCGCCGCCGGCCCGGCGACGGCGCGACTGACGCTCGAGCGGCGCACGCGAGGCGAGCGGCGGATTCTGGACCTCGTCGCGTCCGCGGACGAGTTCCTCCCGGACGCGCTCTTCGTGCCGACGCCCGGCGGCTTCTCCGACGACCCGGGCACGCGCGAGGCCCTCGCCGCGACGGTCGCCGTGACCGCGTCGGTCGTCGACGGCGGTCGCCGGCGCGTCGTCGACGAGGCGACCATCGAGGGCGCGTGCCTCGAGTTCGGCGGCCGCTACGTCGCGCGGTAAGAGTCGGTGGTTACATCGGGGGGGCTGGCCGCACGTGTTTTTTTGGGGGGGCGGGGCGGGGCGGCCGCCCGCGGCTCGCGGCCTAGGCCTTGCACTTCTCGGCGATGAGGACGGCGTTGAGCGCGGCGCCGCGGAGGAGCTGGTCGCCGCAGATGAAGAAGTCGAGGCCCCTGTCGCCGAAGACGTCGTTCTGGCGGATGCGGCCGACCTCGACGTCGTAGTTGCCCGTGGACGTGATCGGCATCGGGTAGAGGCCCGCGTCCGTGTCGTCGGCGATGGCGAGGCCCGGGAAGCCCGTGAGGGCCTTGCGGGCGGCCTCGGGCGTGACGGGCTTGACGGTCTCGATGGTGATGGCCTCGGAGTGCGCGCGGAGCGTCGGGATGCGGACCGCCGTGCACGACACCTTCGGCGGCGCCGTGTCGAGTTTCGCGTCCGCGGCCGCGTCGGGGATGGGCGGGAAGCCGAGGATCTTGCGGCACTCCCAGGTGACCTTCATCTCCTCCTTGGTGTAGCCGTTGGCCTGGAACTTGTCGATGTGCGGGATGACGTTGAACGCGAGCGGGTGCGCGAACTCCGAATTGGGCACCTTCTCCTTGAAGCGGCCCATGCTGTCGACGTACTTCTCGCCCTCGGTCGACGCCATGGCGACGCCGTCGCGGAGCTCGGCCATGCCCGCGGCGCCCGCGCCGGACGCGGCCTGGTACGTCGACACGATGACCTTCTTGAGGCCAAACTCCTTGAAGAGCGGGTAGAGCGCCATGAGGGCGATGGCCGTCGTGCAGTTCGGGTTCGCGATGACCGAGGCGCCCTCGCACTGGTCGCCGTTGACCTCGGGCACGACGAGGGGCACGCCGTCCTTGTAGCGGAGCGCGGAGCTGTTGTCGACGACGACGCCGCCCTCGGCGAGCACCGACCCGATCGCGTCCGCGTACTCCTCGGCGAAGTCGCCGGACGCGGCGAGGAAGACGACGTCGAAGCCCGTGACGGCGTCGACGCTGAACTTCTCCGTCGTGATGTCGCCCCAGTTCGCCGTCGCCACCGTCTTGCCGCCCGACGAGCCGAAGCAGACGGGAGGCCCGTCGCAGGGGAACTCGCGCGTCTCGAGGCACCCGATGATCTCCGCGCCGACGGCGCCCGTGGCGCCGACGATGCCCACCTTGAGCGGGGCGCCGCCCGCGGCCATGACCGTCGCGCTCAGGACCCGCACGCCGGCGCTGCGGTACGGCCGGCTCAGCGAGCGCCGCGGGGACGCGAGGGCCCGGCCCGACAGGGACTGGAAGGCGTCGGCAATGGGGAGCGCCAGGGCCAGCGCGAGGAGGACCTTCTTCATGAACGACACCATGGTAGACTACTGCAGTAGAAGCAGGAGATCGGCGCCTCGGGCAGTGCGATTGATGGCGCGGTGGCCACCCCCTCAATTCGCTTCAGTGCCATATGCACCACGCCGCGCCGTCGTTGCGGCCGTCGATTTCATCCACTTTATCAAAAAAGTTACCCCAACGAGCGCGCGAAAACATATCTATCGACGGCTGCCGATTGATCTTTCGTCCGCCCAACTGCGGACACTAGATCTCACACTGCGGGCTGCCTCCGCGTCGCGCGTCCGCAGCACATGGGCAACCCTATAGCAACTCCTCCTGGCAGCTGCGGCGGACCCTCACGACGCGGCTCCATCTCGAAAGAGTTGCCATAGCGCATTGTGGTTCTCGAGCGCGGCGGGCTCCACGTCCTGCGCGCTGCGCGGGCCCTAATGATCTCAGCTTCTGCGCGTCCCCGCGAGGATCAGACTGGGGTTTTGGAATCTCCGCCCCCGAGTTCCTACGGCGATGTAGGCTCGTTTTCTCCCCCTGTGGGCTGGAACATGCCGAATGCCGTGTCGAAAGTTGTCCGTCCATCGACATCGACGTGCGAAATGCTGCCGAAATCAGGGTTAGTATTGATCGATTAATTCAAGAATCAATGTTGTTTGAAGAAGTTAATGTATCTCCACTTTGGATGAAGTGGATGAATCGATGCTATATCAAGAGTCCAGGGCGAAGCGCCGCTGAGATGGGCTGCTTGCGCTCGTAGGAGTTCGCCGCGCGGGATATCTCCGCCATGACGGTCGCGGGCCTGCGGAGCGGGTCCGCGGCGACGCCCATCTCGAAGAAGGCGCGGAAGCCCAAGAAGCGGGGCCTCGGCGGCTGGGGGTCCCTGGCGAGCACGGTGCGGACGCGGAGCGTCGTCCCCGGCCCGCCGAGCGACGGCCTGAGGGAGCGCTACGACCACGTCATCAAGGAGAACCGGGCCATCCAGCTCAAGCTCCTCCAGAAGGAGGCGGAGCTGCTCTTAATGGATCCGCTGAAGCTCGAGTCGCTCGAGGGCGAGCTCGAGGAGCGGGACCTCCACGCGCGGCTCACGGAGCTCGCGGCGCGCACGGCGGCCGTCGAGGACCGGGGCGTCGCCGCGGACCGGCGCCACGGCCACAACGTCGAGCGCGCGCGGCGGGCCATCCAGGGCGACACGGTCCGGTACCAGCGCGCGGTCATCCGCGACCGCGAGCTCAAGGCCGACATGGAGAAGCACCGGCGCGAGCTGGGCGTCGTGCGGTCCGAGTGGTTCAGCGAGCGCGACGTGCGGACCATGCAGTGCGCGGACATGGAGCGCAAGATCGCCGAGAAGATGACCGCGTCGGAGCGGTCGAAGGCGCGCCTGAAGAAGCAGGGCGCGCTCCGCGAGACCTACGGCGCGCAGATCGACGCGCTCAAGCGGGAGAACGCGGAGATCAAGGCCGTCATCGCCGAGGCCCACGGCTACGTCGACGACAAGCTCCTGGCTGTCCACGACATCGCGGAGCTCCACCGCGCGCGCGAGCACCAGCCGCCTGGTATTTCTACCCACGCGTCGACGCACTCGTCGCTCACCGACGGCCCGCCGCCGGCGAGCCGGCCCGTGGCCTTTGTGCAGGGCTTCGTGCACAAGTTCTGCATGCAGCTCAACGGCATGCTCGCGGCGTCGCGCGGCGCGTCGCGCCTCGTCGAGGAGGAGGAGCTCCAGTCCGCGCAGTCGGAGCGCGCGGAGCGCATGGCGGCGCTCCGCGAGGCCCACGCGGCGTCGGCGGCGGCGCGGGACGAGGCCGCGGCCGCCGTCGCCGACGTCGACGAGCGCGCGCGCGCCGCGGAGCGCGCGCGCGCGGACGCGGCCGCCGCGGCCGACGCCGAGGCCGGCAAGCGCGCGAAGGAGCTCGCGGACCTCGCGGCGCAGCGCGACGACCTCGCGGCCCAGGCCGCGCGCCTCGACGCGGCGCTCGCCGCCATCGCCGCCGCCGACGACGCCGCGGGGCCCCTCGCGGCCGAGGCGGACGCGCTCGCCGCGCACTTGGCGGAGAAGACGGGCGACGCGCCGCCGACGGCCGAGACGCCGCCCGTGGACCGCGCGGCGCCGGCGCCGCCCGACGCCGCCGTCGCGGACCTCCGGAGCGAGCTCGCCAAGCTCGAGGACGACGCGGTCCTCGAGGAGCCGGGCGAGATCGACGCGGCACTCGCGCGCGTCGACGCCATGCTCGCGACCCTCGCCGGCGCGTCGCGGCCCCCGTCCCCATGAGGCGCGCGGGCGGAGGCTTCAGTGGCACGAATGGTCTCTAGTGCGGCGGCCGGCGACTCTGGGGGGAGCGGCCGGCGGCCGGCGGCATCTACCGCCGAAGTTCCAGGTCCTTCCCAGGCGTAGGCGTAGGCCACTTCGTAGGCCTCGGGCCTCGCAACTGGCCACGCACACCCCACCACGTGTCGAAGGGCCAGGACTCGCCGCGATCACCAAAACAACGACGGCACCCCCCGGTTCGCGACGCGATCGAGTTACGGGCGGGGGGAGCGAGGCGGGCGAGATCTACGAGCGGCGCGGCGGCGCCTTCTTGCGCTGGGGCTTGTTTCCCTGGCTCCGCCGGTTCTGGGGCGGGGCCTTCTTCTCGACGCGGATGTTGCGGACCTGCTTGAGGCCCATGAAGCCGACGGCGCGCGGCGTGAGCGCCGGGATGTCGACGAGCTTGTAGTCGTCGACGGCCATCGCGTTCGCGCGGTCCACGAGCTCCTGCTTGCTCCAGCCGAGGGCCTTGGCCTTGGCGTTCGTGTGGCCGAGCCAGGCGACGTAGGCCTTGTCGCGGACGTCGCGGGCGATGGCCTTCATGGCCGCGACGGACGCGGCCGCGTCGTCGCCCGCGGGCAGCACCGCCGCCGGGTCCGCGTCGCCGAGGCCCGGCACGTCGCCGAGCATGCCCAGCGCGTGGCCCTGCTCCCAGTGCTCGAGGACGAGGAGCGCCTCGCCCGATGCGCCCGCGCGGCCCGTGCGGCCCGCGCGGTGCACGAACTGCTCGCGCGAGTCCGGCGCGCCGAGCTGGACGACGAGCGACACGCCGGGGTAGTCGACGCCGCGCGCGGCGACGTCCGTGGCGACGAGGATCGCGTGGGCCGATGACGCGTCGGCGTCGCGAAAGGCGTTGGACACGCGCGTCCGGTAGCTCTGCGTCTTCCGCGAGTGGAGCGCCGCGTTGTCGAGGCCCCGCCGGTGGAGGTAGGCCGCCGCGAGCTCCGCCGACGCCGTCGTCGGGCAGAAGACGACGACCTTGGACCCGCCCTTGCCGCCGCGGTGCGCGTTTAGCGCGTTCGCGAGGGACCCGAGCGCGTCCGCGCCCCGCGGCAAACTCAGCCGCGAGAGCGCGACGCGCGCGGCCGTCGCGTCGGCGACCGTGGACCCGAGGCCCGCCGCGTCGAGGCGCGCGTGGTCCCGCTTCACGGCGCCGCTCCGCAGCATGCGGTCCAGATCCGCGGGCATCGTCGCGGAGAAGCAGAGCGTCTGCCGGCTCCGGCTCGACGCGGCGACGATCTGCGTGAGCTGGCGCTCGAAGCCCTCGTCTAAGAGCCGGTCGCCCTCGTCGAGCACGAGCGTCTGGGCGCCCCGCAGCAGCCGCTCGTCGCCGCCGAGCAGGTCGCAGAGCCGCCCGGGGGTCGCGACGAGCACGTCGACGCCGGCCTTTAATTTCCGCACGTCCGCGCCCTTGGACGTGCCGCCGACGACGCAGCAGCACTTGGCGGGCGTGCCCGCGGCGAGGCGCTCGGCCTGGGCGTGGATCTGCTGGGCGAGCTCGCGCGTCGGCGACAGCACGACGACGCGCGGCCGCCGCTTCTCCCGGTCGAGCAGGTCGCCCTCGAGGAGCCGCTTCAGCGACGGCACGAGGAAGGCCAGGGTCTTGCCCGTGCCCGTCTGCGCACGCGCGACGATGTCGTCGCCGTCGGACGCCGGCCCGAAGGCGAGCTCCTGGATGGGCGTCATCGCCGCGTCCTCGCCGAGCTGCTTAAGCACGTTGCGCGCGAGCTTGCCCGGCAGCGGCAGCGACGCGAACGCCGTGCCCTCGACCGCGGGCGCGTCCGCGGGCGGCGCCGCGGGCGCTTTCGCGGGTGGCTTCGCCGCCGCCTTGAGCTTGGGCGCCGCGTCGGAGGTGAACTGCGCCGCACGTTTCGCCTGGCGCGACGCCGACGTCGTCGCGAAGAGCGGGCTGAGAGCCGGTCGCGCGACGAGGCGGCGGCAGCTCTGCAGCGCAGAAGCGCTGCGTAGCGCGCTGATCAAGAGCATGAGGCTGGGACGCATCGGTCGACCGAAGTTTTCGCTCGCCCAGCGTGTTCACAGGCTTGACCTCAACAGCATCGCGTCTTCAACATCGGCGTGCGAGCGTCCAAAGCGAGCTGCCGCAGGAATATCCTTAGCCCGCGACTTCTCCAGGTCGCACCGCGCGTCGAGCAACGAAAAAGCGCCGCCACTTTTAGCCCTCCACGACGACCGGCGGCGGGAGCGCGGCGTCCACGCGCGCGAGCCACGCGGCGACCTTGGGGCTGTCGCGGACGACGTCCTCGCGGGCGGGGAGCCCCCCGACGGCGCCGAGGACGCCGAAGACCGTGACGTCCCCCAGATCCGGCGCGTCGCCGCCGCGGAAGTCGCGGTCGCCGAGCTCCGCGTCCCAGACCGCGAGCTTCTCCATGAGGGCCGCGCGCTCGTCGTCGATGCCGTACTTCTGCTTGATCTTGCCGTGGGCCATGGACATGCCGAAGGCGCCGACGTGCTTGACGAGGAACGCGTCGAACGGCGAGAACGCGGCGTCGGCGTACGAGAGCGCGAGCTTGCACTCCGCGTAGGACCGCGTGATGTTCGGGTACATCATCACCGCGAGCTCGGCGAGGGCCCAGGACGCCCAGATCCGCGCCTCGGCGCTCGCGAAGGCGTCGGAGGCCGGCGGCGCGCGCGCGAGGACCGCGTCGACGATGTCCGCGGATTCGACGACGACGGTCCCGTCGTCGAAGACGGCTATGGGCACCTTGCGGTGCGCCGTCGAGAAGGCGATCTGCTTCTTCGTCAGCGGGTTCACCTCCGTGTAGGCCAGCGGCAGCGACGCGTGGCGCGCGACGCTCTTCACCGTGTGGCAAAAGGGGCAGATCTGGTAGCCCAGCAGGCGCAGGGCCGCGCCAGCGGGCACGCCGGGCACGGCCGCGCTGAGCTGCCGCCGGCCGATGGCGATCGCGACGCGCGGCGGCGCGATCAAGGCCACGCTGCGCAGCGCCATGCTCTCGGCGCCGTGCTGTGGCAGAAGATCGAGGCTGGGCAGCTCGATGCGCATGCGGCTCGTGCCACGGCGGTGCGTCGTCGGCCTTCGCGCGCGGGCGTCGGACGTCGCCGCCGGCAGGCCTGGACCGGGCCTGGACCGCGTCCCAGACATCGAGGAGAAGCGCCGAGTATTAGAGCGCGTGGTAGAGCTTGACGCCGCCGTCGGCGCCCGCGGAGAAGAGCCAGGGCTGCGTCGGGTGGAACGCGACGTCGAGCGCGCCGAGGCCCGCGGCCACCTTGTGCGCGTCGAGGATCTTCACGGGCACGACGAGGGGGTTGCGCATGAGGTCGTCGTAGACCATGGCGTGGAAGACGTGGACCTTGCCGTCGTCCGCGGACGTCGCCATCAACGGGTAGCGCGCGTGGAAGTCGACGGCGCGGAGCGCCTTGTCGTGGTACTTTAGCGTCTTGTAGGCCGAGTCGCCCAGGTCCATGTCGAACCAGCAGAGCCGCTTGTCGCGCGACCCCACGGCGACGTGGTCGCCGCTCGGGTGCACGCGGAGGCACGAGATCCACTTCGCGCCGCACCGGAGCGTCTTTACCAACGTCTGCTGCGTGAGGTGGTAGACGCGCACGGCCGTCCGCGTCGCGACGAAGAGGAAGGGCTTCGACGGGTGGAAGGCCGCGGCCTGCACCGCGCCGCCCTTGTCGCCCCGCTTCAGCGGCGCCTGGGAGTCGCGCGCGGACGTGCGGTGGACGACGCACTGGAGGGACGCCAGGGCCTCGGGGCTCACGGTCACGAAGTAGTCGCCCTTCGCGTGCCAGGCCACGGTCCGCGCCTGCTTCTCCAGGCCCACCCGTAATCCCGGCCGGTCGCCCGCGAGGGTCTCCCAGGCCGCGACGCCCTCGCGCGGCTCCGCGTCGCCGTCGGGCCCCGCGAGGAGCGCCGCCGTCAGCTCCGCGTCGCCGCCGCGCGCCGTCTTCGCGTCGACGACGTACACCCCGTCGCTGGCGGAGAGCAGGAGCACGCCGTGCTCGGGCCGCGGGTTCCAGGCGAGGGCCGCGAAGGGGCCCGGCGCGAGGTCGCCGCTCGCGAAGACGCAGCGGCCCGTGTAGACCTCCCACAATCGCAAGCTCCCGGCGCCGTCCGCCGTCGCCTGAGAGAGATATGCCGTCGGATCTTGGCGGGAGCGAAGGGGGAAAACCGGCGGCCGCCAATGGGTAGTTCCGATCGTCTTCCTCTCGCGGGCTCAAACGAGGTCGCTCCCGCGGTTTTGTCGCGGCGCGCCCCTTGACCAATTCCCCGCTTCCCCCCTCTCGAAACGAGCGCGGAAAAAAGGACGCGGGTCTCCGCGAGCCACTGGCCGTCGGGCGAGCAGGCCAGGGCGACGACGGGCGCGTCGTGGCCGACGAAGTCGCGGCAGAGCGCGTTCGGGAAGGGCTTGAGGTCCTTCGGGTCCGGCAGCTTGGGCACCAAACTCTCCGGGTCGATGTTCAGCCGCCGCTTCATCGCGCGCGGGCAGAGGTAGAGGTCCAGGCAGCGCTCGAAGCGCTCCTTGACCGCGTGCTCGTAGGCGCCCACGGCCCGGAGCGTGTCGTGGCGCTTGGGCACGAGGCCCTCGTGGTCCTCGAGCTCGTCGTCCTCGAGCAGATACTCCTCGGGCGGCCGGTAGGACTCGTCGTGGTTCGGCAGCGCGAGCTTCGGCGCGGGCACGTGCATGGGCCCCCGGCGCCGCGTCTCCTCCTCCTCGTCGTCGTCGTCGTTCGCCCACATGGACTCGGCGAAGGCGAGGAAGGCCTCGTCGCCGTCGGGCCGCGCCTTCTCGCGCTTCGCTTTGTTCTCCGCGCGCGTCACGATCGTGCCGTCCCTCAGGCCCTGGACGAGCTTCGCGACGCGCATGGCCTCCCACTTCGAGGGGAGGAAGCGCCGCTTCGGCTCCGGCGCGGCGCTCAGGGGCATGGCCTCCGTCGCGGACGCGACGACGTCGAGCGCGTCGCCGTACATTTCCGACTCGCGGTTCGCGAACGCGCCGCCCTTCATGCGCCGGATCTGCTCGAGCTCCCGGGCGCTCACGACGACGTTGCGCCCGTTGAGCTTGTCGTAGACCGTGAGGGCGCCGCCGCCCTGGGCCTCGAGCGCCTGCGCGAGCGCGTCGCTCGGCGCGTCGGCGACGACCTTGCCGCCGCCCAGGTCGTAGCCCACGTGGTCGTAGCCCTCGTACCAGTGCAGCGGCACGCGGCCCGTGGCGTTCCCCGCCTCCTCGTCGTCGGAGCTCAGGTCGTCGACGTGCATGCCCTTGGCCGTCTCCAGGATGCCCGCGGCGCGCTCGTCGTCGAGCTCGGCCTCGCGGCCGCCGAGGCGCTGCCACCGGCGCGCCTCCTCCTCGTAGCTCCGCTCGCTGTCGTCGCCGTCGGACTCCGCATCGGACGACGACGGCGGCGACGGCGGCGGCGCGGCCTTCTTGCCGCGGCGGCCGCCCTTCTTGGAGGAGGAGCTCATCGCCTTTTATCGATGGCTTTGCCCGAAGCAACTCTTCAGCCTCGGCCCGCTTGCAGTCAACTTACCGCAGCGGAAGACGATGGAGCCACTGATGGAGCCCTCTCTCGGGATGTAGCAGCCTCGCAGCGTTGTGGCTAGGTCCCATCGCAAAAAAGGTGTAACAGCGCGCGAATCATGGCAACGTTCGCGACGCGCGAGTCGCCCTTCGTGGAGCCCACGCCGCCGCCCATCCACGCGCCGCGGGGCGTCGCGCCGAGCTGGCGCGTGCTGCCCACGACCGACGACCCGCTCGAGGGCCAGACCGTGGTCGACGTCGACTTCGTGAGCTGCACGAGCTGACCCCACGGCTACATGGCGAAGCAGAACCTCAACGTCGCCGTCAACGCGCTCGACGGGGACAGCCCGCTCGTCTTCCGGATCTGGCGGCGGCCGTTCCAGCTGGACCCGACGCTCGAGAAGACGGCGACGCCGACGCCCGGCGCGACGATCCGGAGCGTCGCGAAGCGCGACCGGCTCTGGCTCGAGGAGGGCGGCGACGCGCGCGCGTCGTTCGGTGTCGCGACTCGCGTCTACGCGACCCGAGACCGTCCTTCCCTAGGCGACATGGCGAGCCTTAAGGAGCGCGGCGCGGAGCGCGGCGTCGCGTTCAGCTTCGACGGCGCCGTGACGAACACGCGCGACTCGCTGCGCCTCGTGCTCTGGGCCCAGAGCCTGGGCCGCAACGAGCAGCTCATGACGGCGCTGGGCTGGCGCCACTTTGGCGCGGACATGGAGATGGCGGACCGGCGCGTGCTCCTGGACGCGTGCGCCGAAGCGGGGCTTAGCCGGACGAAGGCGCGGCGCATCTTGGACGGCGACGCCTACGGGAGCGAGGTCGACGCGTCCCACGGGTCGTGGTCCGCCATGCGGCGCGTCAGCGGCATCCCCGTCGTCGTCTTCAGGTGCTACTTCCCGCACATCGACTACGCGCCGTCGCCGGAGCTCCGCTTCGACGGCTCCGTCGCCGTGAGCGCCTACGGCGACGCGCTCGCGAAGCTCGAGCGCCTCGCGCGCGAGGCGCCGCGCTGGAACTTCGCCAAAGCGGCGCCGCGCTACGCCGTCGTCCACGCGCCGGCCTGCGCCGTCCGCGAGAAGCCGTCGACGGCGTCGCCCGTGCTGCGCTGGTATCGGCCGGGCGCGGAGGTGGACGTCCACGGCGCCGTCGACGGCTGGCTCAAGCTCAAGAAGGAGGCGGGCTGGATGCTGCTGGAGAGCCCGACCTACGGCACGCTCCTGCGGCCCGCGGCGCCGCCGCCGAGGAAGGGCGGCGTGCTCCGCATCTCCGACCTCTAGGCCCGCGCGCGCGTCGCGCCCATGATGGCGGCCGCGGGGGAAGCGACCCCGCGGGCGCCGGACACCGCACGCGCAGTAACGCGAACCGACGTCGGGCCCTGGGGCAGCGCCACACGCTTCAAAACGTTTCAACGACACGAGGACCGGACCCGTTTCAAACGACCTTAGGCGGTCACGTCGACGACGACGCGCCCGCGCACCTTGCCCGCGAGGATGTCCTCGGCGCGCGCGGGGACGTCCGTGAGCGGCACCGTGGTCACCGTGGCGGCGAGCTTGCCGCGGTCGAGGTCGCGGTCCAGCCGCGTCCAGACCTCGTCGCGCTCCTCGGGCGGGCTGTTGACGCTGTCGACGCCGAGGAGGCGCGCGCCGCGGAGGATGAAGGGGAAGACCGTCGTCTCGAAGGAGGCCCCGGCCGCGTTGCCGCACGCTGCCACCGCCCCCCGGGGCTTGAGCTTCGCCAAAACCGCCGCGAGCACGTCGCCGCCGGCCGTGTCGACGGCCGCGTCAAAGTCCGCGCGCTCCATGGGCTTCGCCGGCGCGTCGAGGCGCCCGATGACGTGCGCCGCGCCGAGCGCGCGGAGGTAGGCCTCCTCCTCCTCGTGCCGCGACGACGACGCGACCACATTGTGCCCGAGGTCCGAGAGGATGGCGACGGCCAGCGACCCGACGCCGCCGGCGGCGCCCGTCACGAGCACCGTCGCGTCCGGCGCGTCCAGCGCGCCCGACCGCTCCAGGTGGAGCACGCACTGCATCGCTGTGAAACCGGCCGTGCCCATGGCCATCGCCGTGTGGTTGTCCATGGAGTCCGGCAGCGCCGTGAGCCACTGCGTCGGGAGGCGCGCGAACTCGGCGTAGCCGCCGTCGCAGCGCTGGCCCAGGTGGTCGTTGACGCAGACGACGCGCGTGCCCCGCGGGGGCCCGAACGGCACGTCGAACGCGACCTCGCCCGCCAAATTGATGCCCGGCACGACGGGGAACTGGGCGACGCCGGGCCGGCCGCAGACGACGAGGCCGTCCTTGTAGTTGAGGCAGCTGTGGGACACGCGCACGGTCACGTTGCTGTCGGCGATGGGCTGGCTCGGAGACTCGACGACGTCCTCGAAGGTCTCGATGGCCGCGGGGGCGCCGTCGCGCTTGACGAGCGCGCGGTACTGCCTCGCGGCGCGCGTCGGCGCCGCGGAGCGCCGGAACACGCGCGCGAGCATGGCTGGGTGACGGCGGCGGCGCTCTGCACTCGGCTGTGGACACGCTGTGGCAGCCAGTCGGCGAGCGGAGCTCCACCAACGCCGCGCCGCCGCCGCGCCAACGCGGCCGCCGCCGCGCGCAACACCGCAACGATATGGGCCGCGTCGCAAGACGTAGAGTAAACCGGCTGCGGCGCGTCGCGATCGCGCGCGGCGCGCTGCGCGTCGCCGGCGGCGCCGAGTGGGCCGGCGACGGCCGCGACGGCGCCGAGGTCTGCGACCCGGCGGACTGGGAGGCCGCCTGCGCGCGCGAGCTCGCGGAGCTCGACGGCGACGCGTCGGCGAGCGACTCGTCGTGGGCGGGCGACGACCGGTCCGACGCGTCCGACGGCAGCGTCGGCGCGGCCTGGGACGCCGCGGTCGCGGAAGAGATGGCCGCGGAGTTCGGGCCGGCCTTTCCGGACGACGACGACGACGACGACGACGACGACGACGCGTGGGCCCGCGAGTGGGCGACGACGCTGAACGGGCCGGCGGCGGGCGCGAACGGGGCCGACGGCGGCGACTCCGACGGCGGCGACTCGAGCGACGACTCCGACGGCGACGGCGACGGCGACGGCGACGACTCCTCGGTCGACGAGGTCGCGCTCGCGCGCGAGGCGGTGGGCGCGGCGCGGGTCGTCGGCGCGGGCAAGCCGCCGCCGCCGGCGACGAAACCGCCGAAGCGGGGCCTCGCGACGGACTTTACGATCGTCGCGCCCGGCGAGGCGAAGCGGCGGCGCACGGGCGGGCCGCCCCAGCCCCAGCGCGGGTCCGTCGTCCGCGCGCGCGCGGACAGCAAGGAGGACCTGCGCCGGGCGCACCGCGCGGCCAAGTTCGCCAAGGAGGCCGCGGCGCCGCCGCCCGTGCCGAAGAAGACGATGGCGCACCCCGGGGGCAAGATCACGTCCAACAAGGACGAGGCCACGGCGGCGTTCCTCGCGCGCAAGGCCGCCATGGCGGAATTCGAGGCGTAATCTTACACGGGCTTGGAGCCGTGGAGCTCGAACTCGCGCGCGGAGCCGAAGCCGGGGTTCCCGCGCGCGAACGACGACGAGATCCGCTTCCGCGCGGCGTCGCGCTGCTCCTTCGTGCGGCAGCACGTGCGGTAGCACTGGATGGCGCAGGAGCAGACGACGACGACGCCGAGGCCGAGGACGCCCAGCGCGAGCTGCCAGGGGAGCCCGGCATTGTCATTGTCGCTCGACGACGCGAAGGTCGCGTACGCCCCCACCTCCACGGTCAGCGACACGTTCCGCGCGAAGCACGTCGGCCGGTGGGACTCGGACGCGTGGGCCGCGAGGCAGTTGCCGCCGGCGCCGTCGTAGATGGCCACGGCGACGACGTCGCGCGAGTTCGCCGCCGTCGACCGGAAGGTCAGCGTCTTCAAAAGCGCGTCCGCCAAATCCGGCGCCGCGAGGAACGAGAAACTTTGGTCCGTCGTCCCGTCGCCGTGGCAGCTCCAGCCGTCGTTGCCGAAGCAGTAGGCCGCCGAGTTGAAGTCGGCGCCGGCGAGCAGGTCACCGTCCAGGGACAGGAGGCTCGAGTACTTGCCCGCGGCTACGTCGACGCGGACCGCGTCGACGTCCAAGTCGTCGTCGCCGACGCCCAGCCCGGCCAGCAGCACCTCGCTCGGGTAGGCGTCGTCGTCGTCGGCCGCGCCGCCGCCGGCGGCGTAGACCTCGAAGGCCAGCGTCGCCGCGGTCAGCGTCGGCGCGTCGTTGACGTTGCGGACGGCGACGGGCTGGGCCGCGTCCGGCGACCGCCGCGCCGGCGCGGCGCAGTCGACGGCGGCGTAGGCGATGGCGTCGGGGTCCGCGCCGACGCCGCCGCCGTCCCAGCGGACCTCGGGCACGTTGAAGTAGGAAGCTTCGCCCACGTAGTCGACGGCCGCGCCGGCGTCGTAGGGGTAACTCGACCGACCCGCGAGCACCGAGCCAACCGCGAGCGCGCCGTCGCCGCCGGCGGGGTCGTAGAGGACGCCGTGCGCGGGAAGCCTTGTGATTTCAAAACACACATCGGCCCGGGCGTCGCTCGCGTCCGCGCCGCGGAGCGTCACCGTCGTCGACGCGTAGCCGCGCTCGCCGACCTCCTGCGCGGCCGTCGGCGTGGCCACCGCGGGGCTCGCGACGGCGACGCTCACGTTCGCCGTGTAGCCCCGGGCGCCGTGGGGGTCGACGAGCGCGAAGGCGAAGCTGTCGTTGCGGAAGACGCCCGTCGCCGGGTCCATGGTCCCCGGCGTCACGTTTCCGACGAATTCGAAGAAGACGACGCGGTCCGCGAGGTCGCGGCCGACGGCGTCGAGGCCGTCGCTGCCCGTGAGGCGCACGTCGGCGCCCGCGCCGAAGACGACGGCGGCGTACAGCGCGTCGTCGACGTCGGCGCCGCCGAGGAGGAGGGATGTTCTGGCTCCCGCGAACGCGAAGAGCGTCTCGTTCGCCGACGGCGTCGGCGGGTCGTTGACCGCGGCGACGGTCAGCGACACGGACGCCGTCGCCGAGGCGACGCCCGTGACGCCGTCGACGGCGTAGTAGGTGAACGCCATGGCCGCCGCGGCCCCGAACGCGTCTCGCGGCGGCCGCGCGACGACGCCGTAGCCGTCGGCCGCCGCCACCGCGACCGGCAGATCCGCGCTCTCGAGCCGCGTCCCGTCGGCGAGATAGAGCTCGCCGACGTCCGGCAGGGACGCGACGTAGGCCGTCGCCGCCGCGCCGCCGTAGGTCGGGTAGGCCTCGTCGTCGTCGACGTCGGTCGCCGCCAGGCTCACGGATCCCAAGAGGCCGAAGGGCAGCGGCGCGGCGTAGACGCGCGGCGTGCTGTTCACCAGGGCCCCGGCGTCGCGCTCGCCGTCCTCGTGGATCGTCGCCGCCATGTTCTTGACGACGGGCGGCGAGTTGGGCAGCGCCGCGGCGTAGTTCGCCGCGACTTCGTCCGCCGTGAGCTTCCGGTCGTAGACGCGGAGCGCGAGCGCGTCGCCGTCGAAGCCGTCGTAGCCCGACGTCGCGCGCCGCGCGACGCCGTCGGAGAAGAGCTCGACGACGAACTCGTCGGCGGGCCAGGCCGCGGCGAAGTCGAAGGTGGCGTAGTCGTAGCCGTACATGAAGTTCTTCGAAAAGTCGAGCGCGCCGTCGACGTAGACGTCGAGCTGCTCGCCCACGGCGACGACGAGGTGGGCCGGCCCGTCGGCGAAATGGTCGAGGAGGCCCGTGTCCGTCGTCCGGCTTAGGCACTCGCCGGACGTCATCTCGCCGTCGTCGTATGCGGCCTCGCCCTGGAAGACCATCTCGATCTCCAGCTCGTTGCCAACCTCCGAGATGCGCAGCCCCACGTTCCCGTCGCAGACCGTGTTCGCCGCGTCGCGCGACCCGAGGGCGAAGATGGGCTGGTGCTCGAGTGAGTCGCCCAGCGTCCGGACCTCGAGCCAAAGTTCCACGGTGATCCCGTCGGAGCCCGCGGCGACCGCGTCCGCGAGCGCCGCCGCCAGCGCCGACGCGTTCCGCGACGACGCCACGTGCACCTCCACGACCTCCTCCTGGCCGCCGACGCCGACGCCGTCGAGGCACCACGTCGTCGCGTTGTTCCGCTCGAGGGCGCCGAGCAGGTTCGTCGTCGCCGCGTCGGCGAAGGAGCCGGCGAGGCACTCGGCCCGCGACAGGCCAAAGTCGACGAGCAGGCCGTCCTCGACGACGCTCGCGCCGGCGAACGTGGCGAGCAGGGCGCACAGGCCCCACAACATGCGGCCCGCCATTGGCCCCTGAAACTTGCCTGAAATTCTCGAGGGGCTGCAATGGAAACCTTTCCCCTGCTCTTCAACACCGGCACACAAAAGAGGGTATCGAATACCCTGTCTTGATGAGAGAACATTCCTCACGCAAGCCCTCCTCGTCGAGAGGCAGCCTCGCAAGCAAGCCCACACCGCAGCCAATTTGCGGTGCTGACCACACACACCGCAGACGACCGGCAGCCTTCATCGCGCAAAATGCCAAAGAAGAAGCGCCAGGCCAGCGGCGGCAAAGGCAGCGGCAAGGCGGCACCGCGGAATGAGACGGCGGCGACCACGATCGCAGCCCTAACCGCCGGAAAGCTGTCCCCAACACACCGCGGCGCCGACGCCGCGGTGCGCCGGCGGATCCGCGCCGCGATCGAGACGCCGCCCGAGCGGATCGACCGCGCCGCGGTTCCGGCGCGAGGCGGCGCGCGCGGCGGCGGCCCCGCGTTGGTCCTGTTCGACGGCACGTCGTTCGAGGCGGCGGCTTATGCCGAGCTGTGGCTCCGGGACCGCGGGCTCGCGCCGGCGCCGTGCGTGCTCGACTTCGCCTCCGACTCGAACGCCGGCGGCGGGTGGCGCGGCCGCCAGCGCGGGACGCAGGAGGAGGCGCTCTGCCGCGCGTCGTCGCTCGGGCTCGCGCTCGAGCGGTGCCCGGGCGCCTTCGGCATCCCGGCCGACGGCGCGCTCTACGTGAGGGAGGTGGCGGTGGTCCGTTGCGACCGCACGGGCGCGTGGCGCGACGCCGACGCCGCCGGCGACTCGCGCGACCCGGGGCGCGTCTTCTGGTGCGCCGCGGTCGCCGCGGCGCTCCGCGAGTGCGGCGGCGAGGGCGACCGCCGGCTCGACGCCAAGGTCGGCGGCGTCGCGGCGGCGGCGGTCGAAGCGGGGCACGCGGCCCTCGTGGGCGGCGCGTGGGGCTGCGGCGCGTTCGGCAACGACGCGGCCGCGGTCGCCGCGGCCTGGGGCCGGGCCGCCCGGGGCCCCGCCGGCGCCGGCCTCGATCTGCTCGTCCTCGCGCTGCCGCGGGGCGCGGCGCGGGCCGAGTTCGCGCGCGCGCTGCCCGGGGCCGCCGCCGCCGCCGCGGGCGACGACCCCCGGGACGCGTTCGCCGACAGAGACGCGGCGCCCGTCTAACGTTATCGATTCTTCGACACGCTCCGGAGCGACGCGCGGAACTCGTCGTAGTCGAGGTCGCCGCGCCGCAGCTTCCCGGCGCGATCCGCGTCGCGCCGCCGGAGCTCGGCCTCCGCGTCGATGGCGTCGGCGATGGTCGGGTTGCGCTGGCTCCGCGCGGCGTTGGACGCCGTCATCGCGGCGCCCGACGCTTTGCCCTTCGGCTCCAGCGCCGCGCCGCTCGCGAGCAGCTGGAGCGCGGCCTGATATTCCCCGTTGTAGCTCGCCGTCCAGAGCGGCGTGCAGCCCTCGCCGTCGAGCGCGTCGACGTCGGCGACGCCCGGGGCCGCGAGGTACTTGACCACGGGCAGGTAGCCCTCGGCGGCGGCCCAGTGCAGAGCGCTCCAGCCGTCGCCGTCGCGCGAGTCGACGTCCGCGCCCTCGGCTCGCAGCAGGCGCTTCGCCGCGTCGAGGTCGTACTTCTGGCGCACGCCGGGCTTGACCTTGTCCTTGACGAAGGCGCCGCAGGCGATGCGAAAGTTCTCGTCGCGCTCCGCCGCCTCCGTCAGGAGCCGCTTGCCGCCGCGCTTCGTCTTGTCCGGCGGCGGCTCGTCGCCCGCCGTCAAATGGGAAAATCTCTCTTCGATCGCCGCCGCGGCGTCGCGCTCCTGGGCGCGCGCCGCGCGGAACGAGTCGGCCATTGGTGTCGCGGGCAGCCTGCGAGGCGCGTTGAAGTCGGTTGTTGAAGGCAAGGAGCATCTCGAGTGGGCAGAGCAAAATGGGAGCCCTCTGGAGCGGTGAGGACCGCTCCCCACCACCGGACACCTGGCGGCTCGACCACGAGCGGGAGGCGCGCTGCGCCGGCGAACCTGCCGGCGGCGCCGTTCGCTGGGCCGTGCGGCTGTCGACGTGGCGCGTCGGCGCGCCGCCGCCGCCGCACCGGTCGCGGGAGTTCGAGTGGCTGCGCACGGCGCTCGTGCGCGAGCCCGCGGAGCGCGACCGCGTGCTCGAATTCAAGTTCGAGGCCGACCGGCGCCGCGCGCTGCTGGCGCGGCTCCTCGCGCGGCGGTGCTGCGCGCGCGCGCTCGGCGCTCCGGCGACGATCGCGCGGACCGCCGGCGGCAAGCCCTTCGCCGCCGCCGCCGGCGCGCGGCCCTTCCCGAACTTCAACTTCAACATCTCCCACGAGGGCGACTTCGTCGTCGTCGCGTCGGAGCCGCTGTGCTTGGTCGGCGTCGACGTCTGCTGCGCGGATCGAGCGCGGGGGCCGCACCGCGCGCCGCCGGACCTCGAGGAGCTCGGCCACTACGCCGTCGCCTTCTCCCAGGACGAGTGGACCGCCCTCGTGCTCGTCGGCGACGGCGAGAAACGCTTCGACCACTTCCGCAGCCTCTGGGCCTGCAAGGAGGCCTACGTCAAGGCGCGCGGCGACGGCCTCGCCTTCGACCTGAACCGCGTGACCTTTTACGCGCTGGCGCGGGGCGGCCGCGGGCCCTTCTCCGCCGCGGCCGTCGTCGTCGACGGCTTCCGCGACGACCGCTGGCGCGTCGACGTCGAGGCGCTCGACGCGGACCACATCGCCGCGGTCTGCCGGGGCCCCTGCGCCGAGGCGCGCGACGAGGCCGGGGCCTTCGCCGCGACGATGGCCGAGCCGGACGCGGGCGCGACGATCTCCCGGGCCTGGCGCGCGGCCGTCGCCGAGCCGCGCGCGGCCTTTTCCGTCGTCGGCGCGGACGACCTCGTCCCCGAGGACCTGAGGCCCGAGCACGCCGCGGTCCGGAGCGCGGGATTCGCGGGGCCCTGGGGCGGCGCGGTTTCCTAATTCTTTTTCGCTGCTGTTTACTAGGCGCTGCCGTCTACCGGTACGTAGGCGCAGATGCCGGCGCCCGCGACGCGCTCGCACGACGCACTGGCGGGGCAGTCCGCGGGGCCCTGGGGCGGCGCGGTTTCCTAATTATCCGAGGTTACTCGGCGTAGGCGCAGATGCCGGCGCCCGCGACGCGGTCGCACGACGCGCCGGCGGGGCAGTCGCCGCTCGCGCACTCGAGGGCGCAGAGCTTGACGCCCGCGCCGTCGGTGATGGCGCAGGCGGGCGTCGCCGTCGACCCCGGCGGCACGTCGCGGGGGCACGCGCCGTCGGCGCCGCAGCGCGGCGCGCACGCGGCCTCCAGGCGCACCTCGTCCCAGAGGCAGCCCGCGCGCGGGTCGCCGTAGTGCGTGCGGGGCGACGACGGCGGCGCCACGGGCAGGCAGTCGTCGTGGCCGCTGGTCTTCGGCGAGCACGGCTGGCCGGCGCAGTCGTCGACGACGAGCCGCGGCGGCGGGGCGCCGCCGAAGAGGATCGCTTCCATCATCGACGCCGACGTCCACTCGTCGACGGTCACCTGCCAGAAGATGTCGTCGTAGGCGAGGCCGTGATGGTAGCAGTTCGGGCTGAAGACGTAGACGTCGTCGCCCGCGGCGGCCCCGAGCGTCCGCGCGGACTCTTCGCGGAACCACGCCATGTATTCGAAGGCTCCGGCGTCGGTCGCGTAGTCGAAGAAGCCGTTCCAGAACCCCTGCCACTCGTCGATCTGGTTCTGGAGGAACAGCGTCGGCGCCGTCAGATGCGGGCCCGCGTACTGGCCGAGGAAGCAGCGCCACGCGCCCCACCTGCCGTAGAACGCCGCGCAGGACGCGTCGGGCGCGCCGTTCGTGTAGACGTGCATGGCCTGCATCTGCTGCGCGAGCGTCTGCCCGCGGCCGAGCCACGCGTGGCCGTCGCCCGCGTTGAAGCCGTCGGGCGCGCTCGCCGCGGACCCGGCGGCGCACTTGCACTCGTAGGAGTCGGGGCTCTGGCACATGGCGCCGGGCTGCACGTCGAGGAAGAAGCCGGTGTCGGGCATCGCCAGGTACCGAGCGCCGGGCGCGGCCGCGCGGACGAGGTCCGCGACCCAATCGCCGTTGTTGATCGTCGCCATGCCGCCCGCCGACCCGCCCGTAAGCAAAAAGTGGGAGGCCCCGTCCAGACCCTCGCTGCGGAGCTCCGCGAGCACGGCCGCGACGATCTCCTTCCCGCGGAAGTGCCATTTAGATTCGCCCGCGCCGTCGGAGCCCATCGACCTGTTGCCCGCGTGCGAGTCCGACGAGCAGTAGACGAGGAACACTTTGGAAGCGTTCGCCATCGGGTTCGTCGGCGCGTGCGCCATGAGGCCCGTGTTGTGCTCGCCGTTGAACGTGTCGAACGCGTCCGTGAGATTTTGGAGGTCCTTCGTGCTCATGAGCGTCCGCTTCTCCGTCGTGTGGTTCGCGAAGTGGTCCCAGCGGACCTGGCAGCTATACGCGTCCCAGCACCACCACCCGCCCTGCTGGTGCACGATCCAGGCATCGGAGCTGCCCTTGTAATAGTAATAGGCCGCCGGACTACCATCGTTGCAGACGGCGAGCGGATGCGCCTCCGTGTCGACGAAGCGGAGCTCGTAGCCCAACGACCTGGGGCCGTTCTGTTGGCCCTGCGCCGCAGCGAACAGGGTAGCGAGTCGCAGCGTCGGGCTGGCCATCGGAGAGCGATCCTCAGCTTCAACATGCAGGAAACATTAATTACCCGCCGCGAAAGTGGCGCGTCGCCCGGCGGCAGTCCGCCGCCGCGCGGAAGGTCGCGTCGTCGTCGCAGTCCAATTCCGGGCAGCGCGAAGCGAAGGCGCCGTCGAGGCAGCAGGCGTCCTCCGCGTAGCACGCGCACGCGCGGCGCTCGAGGCTCTGCGGCAGCCGCGCGGCGGCCGTCGCGGCCGGCCGGGCCCGCTCGCGCGTCGTCGGAGCGCCCCGGCCGAACAGGAATGCCAATTCGGCGTCGAGCGCGTCGACGCGGCCGAGGTGGTCGAGGCCGAGCGCGGGCTTGCCGCGCGGCCGCGTGAGGAAGTGCCACTGCGGTGCGACGTGCTCGAGAGCGCCGGCCGCGACGCGCCCGTCGAATAGTCGGCTCGCGAAGGCGGCGACGGCGCCCGGCGGGTCCGCGACGTCGCGGCCCATGGCGTAGCGGCCCTGGCGCGCGGCCGCGACGTTGACCCCGCGCTCGACGCCAACGAGCTTCGAGCCGTTGCGGAACGTGTAGCCGCGCGCGACGACCTCGAGCTGCCGGACACGAAGCGCTCGAGCGGGTCCCGCGCGAAGGCGACGACGCGCGGCTCCGTTCGCGCGACCTGGTGCGCCCACGCGTTGAGCGTCGCGGCGCCCGGGAACCGCCGCGCCGCGAAGGCCTTGAGCGACGACGAGCCGCCCTTGGCGATCTGCACGAGCGCGACGCTGGCGTTGTTTTGATGGACGAGCACGACGAGGCCCGACGCGCCGGCCTCGCGGTCGAGGCGCGCCGCGCAGCGCCGGACGAGCGCGAGCCGCGCCTTCGATTGCGCATCGAAACTTGTGTTTGTCGCGTCCAGCAGCCGCAGCGTCGCGACGAGCCACCAGGCTGCGAACGCCATCGCCGTCTATGCTAGCTCTCCCAGCATCACAGCAGCGTCGCAGCCCACCCACCATTTTGTCATGGTCTCATCGCAGCGCAATGTGGCTGCCCCAATTCGAACCTGTACCTGGGGCTGCCTGTTTATATCCAGTTTTGCAAGCGTATCAACACGAGCGACCATATCATTCGGAGAGCACCGCTTCCCGTCAGCTCAGCGAAGTTAAGCCGGATCGAGCTTGGTTAGTACTACGGTGGGTGACCACGTTGGAATCCCGAGTGTTGCTCGTTTCTTTTTTGTCTTTTTTTGCTCGAATGCCATCCAAATACGTTCGTCTGACATCGTCCTGGAGGCACCCGGAGACGCGTGTGACAATCGAGCCCCCGTCGCTGGTTGCCTTCGCGCGGCCATTTTAACGACCGGCGTGAGGCATCGCCCCACTGCAGCCGAACGCACCGCTGCAGCCGAGCGCACCACTCTGGTCCACACCTTCAGCCGACACCGTCACGACCTCCGCCCTCGACGACGTCGTGTCCACCCAGCACCCGCGCGAGCGAACGCGCAAGACACCACCGCTGCGCGACGACCCATATATGTGCCGCCCGCCCATGACGGAGTCGAAACCGGACGACGCGCCGTCGCCGCGGCGCCTCGCGCTGACCTGCGGCGTCGTCACCCTGCTCGACCTCGTGGTCACCATCGGCCTGTCGCTCTATAAACCGCCGCACGCCGTCAACCCCTGCGCCTTCGGCTGGCCCTTTTTCTACGGTTCCAGCACGTCCGACCTCGTCGCGCTCTGCGTCGCGCGCGCGGTCGCGTCGGCAATCGTATCGAGACGCGTCGGCGCGGAGAAGTTCGAGGCGGGCCGCGCGCACGCCTCCCTCGCCGAGCTGGCCTTCGCCCTGTCCAAGGCCGTGTCGCGCGCGCTCGGCGCCCGGGGCCGCTCCTGCGACGACGTCACGGAGCTCTTCGACGCGGCCTGCGGGGCCTACGCGTTCTTCGCGTACGCGCAGCCCTGGGCGCTCTGCCGCTGGCTCCGCGCGAGCGAGGCCGCCGCGGCGCGGGAGCGCGCTCGGAGCTCGGAGCAGAACGGCCTGGCCGTGCCGCTCCTCGGCGGGGACGCGGACTGCGAGGCGCCCGAGAAGCCGAAGAAGGACGAGCCCAAATCCGACACGCGCGGCACGCTGCGGTCGCTGGTCAAGATCGCGTCCCCCGACGCGCTCTACTTCTGGGCCGCCATGGTCTTCGCCGTGCTCGCCGCCTTGTCGACGTCGGCCATCTCGCTCTGGACGGGCGACGCGCTCGACGCGCTCATCAAGTCCGGCGACGGGAAGCGGTTCAAGGCGCAGGTCGCGGAGCTCGCGGTCATCGCGGCCGCGGGCGCCGTCTGCACGGGCTGCCGCGGGGGCCTGTTTTCCTTCATCGGCGTGCGCATCAACGTCCGGATCCGCGACGCCCTCTTCCGCCACCTGCTGACGCTCGAATTGGCGTACTACGACGAAACCCCCACGGGCGACCTGAACTCGCGGCTCTCGAGCGACACGTCCAAGGTCGGCGACCAGGTGTCGCTCAACGTCAACGTCTTCGCGCGGACGGCCGTGCAGCTCGTGACGACGCTGGCCTTCATGTGGCACACGTCGCCGGAGCTGACCTTGGTCGCGTGCTGCTCCGTGCCCGTGATCGGCGTCGCGACGAAGCGCTACGGCGCGCTCGTCTGGGCGCTGTCGAAGCGCATGCAGAACGAGCTCGCGGGGGCCATGCGCGTCGCCGAGGAGGCCTTCAGCTCCATGGCGACGGTGCGGTCCATGGCCGCGGAGCCGTCCGTCGCGGCGGATTTCGGCGCCGCGCTCGAGAAGTACCGCCAGGTCGGCGTCCTGCAGGCGTGCGCCTACTCCTGCTGGCAGTCCTTCAACACGGCGCTGCCGACGCTGATGACCTGTTTGTTGCTGTTCTACGGCGGGCGTTTGGTGGACAAGGGCGAGCTCCGGTCCGGCCGTCTGGTCGCGTTCATGCTGCTGACGCAGTCGCTCGCGGACAGCTTCAACACGCTCGCGGACATGTTCTCGAACATCGCCGACGCGCTGGGCGCCGCGGACAAGGTCTTCGTCTTGTTGGACCGGAAGCCCGGCGCGGACGCGCCGCCGGCGCCGCTGTCGAAGAAGCTCGCGGACGCGCATTGCGCGGGCGAGGTGCGCTTCGAGGACGTCCACTTCACGTACCCGGCGCGGCCCGACGCGCCCGTGCTGCGCGGCGTGTCCTTCGCCTGCGCGCCGGGGTCCGTCGTCGCGCTCGTGGGGCCGTCGGGGTCCGGCAAGTCGAGCTGCCTCGCGCTGCTCCAGCACTTCTACGCGCCGACGCGGGGCCGCGTGCTCCTCGACGGCGACGACGTCGGCAGCCGCGACCACGCCTGGCTCCACACGAAGGTCGCCATGGTCGGCCAGGAGCCCGTGCTCTTCGCGCGGTCCATCGAGAAGAACGTCATCTACGGCCTCGAGGGCACGGCCCTCGAGCCCGACGCGGCCAAGGTCGACGCCTGTCTGCTCGCGGCGAACGCGAAGCCCTTCGTCGACGCGCTGCCCGACGGCAGGGAGACGGACGTCGGCGAGCGCGGCGCGGCGCTCTCGGGCGGCCAGAAGCAGCGCATCGCCATCGCGCGCGCGCTCGCGCGCGACCCTGCGGTGCTCCTCCTCGACGAGGCGACGTCGGCCCTCGACGCCGAGAGCGAGCGCGCCGTGCAGGACGCGCTCGACGCGCTCATCAAGGAGTGCAACATCACGGTCATGGTCGTCGCGCACCGGCTCTCGACGGTCCGCGACGCGGACACTATTTGTGTGATGAAGCGCGGCGTGCTCGTCGAGGAGGGCTCCCACGACGAGCTCTTCGCGCGCGACGGCGGCGTCTACGCGGACCTCGTGCGCCGCCAGGCGAACATCTCCAAGGAGGACTCCCGGTCGCTGCTGAGCACCGCGGGCTCCGAGTCGTCCCTCCCGAGCGCCGCCGCGGGGGCGAACTGATTGCGCACTACTAAAACTCCCCTGGTGTCGTTTGGACAACTTACGCCGCGTCCGACTCCTCGAGCTCCGCGGCGAGCTGGACGAGGACCGCGACGGGCGCGGCGGCGACCCAGCGGGAGACGGCGTCGGGCGTCGCGAGGTCCCGGCTTTCCTCCAGCGTCGCGACGAGGCCCGCGGGCACGCCGAGCGCGCCGACGGCGCGGTCCAAAGCGCGGAGGTCCGCGGCCGCCGCGGCCGGAAACGCGGCCGTGGCCGTCTTCGCCGCGAGCGCGACGGCGACGAAGGCGCGCGCGTCCGCCGCCGCCGCCTTCGCGACGTCGCCGCGCGCGATGAGCGCGACCGCGACCGCGACCGCGGCAACGTCGTCGCGCGGCCCGCCGGCGACGAAGGCCTCGACGCACGCCAAGACCTCGGCGCCGGAACCGGCGAAGCCCGCGAGCTCGAGGAGGCCGGGGAGGCAACCGACGTCCGGCGCGCCGTCGGCGGCGTCGTTGACGAGCAGCGCGCCGTAGGCGCCGACGAGTTTCGCCGCGGCGCGTCGCGGGCCCGACCGGTCGCGCCGCTCCGACGGGCGCGCCGCGAGCTGGAGCCGGCAGAGCCAGGCGGCGAGGAACTGCTGCGCAGCGACGCGCAGGCGCGTCACGGCTTCGACGCTGACGGCGCTCGGCGCCGCGCGCGCGAGCACGGCGGCCGCGCGGCCGACGGCGGCGTCGACGGCCTCGAGGCTTTCCCCGTCGGCGGCCGCGGGCGCGCAGAGCCGCGCGAGCGCCTCGGCGGCGTCGCCGGCGTCGTCGTATTTCGCCTCCTTGGCCGGCGTCGCCGTGGCGAGCTCCTCGGCGACGAGCGCCTCCCAGCGCGACCGCTTCGAGCTCCCGCGGGCGCCGAGCGACGACCGCAGCTTGCTCCCCTCGGGCAGCGCGTCGGCGAAGGCCTCGAGGGCCAGCGGCACGTCGGCTTCGCCGAGGCCTTCGGCGGCGAGCCGGCACGCGACGTCGGTGGGAGCGGAACGGAGCATTGCGCAGCTCTAAGCGCGCTCAAGCGCGGCGCATCGACGCTCGCCAGAGGCAACGAGGACGTACAGTCGACGATGCCAGGCCTGATGCCGTAGCGCGCGCGCCGCTTTCACGAACGGACCCGCGGAGCCAAAAGAACTTACTTGTCGGGGCGAAATCTCTCGTCGTAGGTGGGCTTGACGACGTGCTTGCCGCCGTTGTGGAGCATGGCCGCCATCTTCTTGTCCTGCTCCGCGTCGCCGCCGTGCTTCATGTTGTCGAAGTACCTGCGCGGCCGCCGGCTGGGACCCGTCGGTCGTCAAACATGGCGGCGCGGGCGTCGCGCTTCTGCATGGCCTCGCGCTGGCCCACGTTCTTCCTGATGTTGTGCGAGTACTTGGCCTCGAGGTCCGCGCGGAGCTCGGCCTCGGTCTTCTGGCCGGGCTTCATGATGGCGTAGAGCACGGCGCCGGGCAGCAGCATGTACATGGACTGGACCACGATCGTCTGCGGCGGGGCGCGCGGCGGCGTCGGGCGGCGGCGCGGCGCGGCGCGCGGCGCGGCGGCGCACCTTGGAGATCTTCACCATGGCTCGCGGCGCGCGGTCGTCGCGGGACGGCGGCTTCCTCGGGGCGCTGCCGGCGACGCGGGGCGCTCGTGCGAGACGCGCGGCGCGATCGGCGCGCGCCGTCCGGTCGGCGGCGGCGCGCGAGCGTGGATCCGATTGCGAGAGCACGGCGGCTCTCGAGAGCGGCGGTGCTCTCAAAGGCATCGTGAAGAGATGTTGAAGCAGTTATCGGGCGATGGGACTTCCGCCCTGCCATCCTTAGAAGACGAGGTGCGCGAGGGGCAGCGCGCCGAGGAGCACGTGGGTCCCGACGACGTCCCCGGGCGCCGGCGCATCGCACGCGGCCGCGACGCTCCGGGGCCCGCCGCCGGCCGGGCACGCGGCGAGGCGGTACGCCGCGGCGCAGGGCTCGCAGAGGAAGGTCGCGACCGTGGCGAAGCGCGACGCGCCGGCGACGATGGCGTCCGAGGCCGCGAGCAGCAGCATCTCCGCGGCGACGTCGACGGCCGGGCCGTCGAGGCGGCGGCCGCACGGCGCGGCAGCCGCGGCCGCGTGGCGCGGCGCCGCCGCCGTCGCGACGACCTTGCCCGGGTAGGCCCGCGCGGCCGCGCGCTTCAGCGCCGCCGAGTCCGAGAGCAGGAGCCAGGTCGCGGGGCCGCCGAGGCGCCGCTCGGCCTCGGCCGCCGCGGCGAAGACGTCCGCGAAATCCGTCGCGTTCGCCTCGTCGCCGCAGGAGAAGACGGCGTCGTCGAGGGCGCCGCCGTAGGCGTCGCCGCGCAGGTAGCGCGCCGCGCGGACGTGGACGCCGACGACGCGCTCCGGCCTCCGGCCGCCCCAGGGCGCCGCGGCCGCCGCGGCCGCGCGCGCCGCGGCCGAGGGCTTCAGGGCGGCGCGGAGCGCGCACGCGGAGAGCTCCAGCAGGTCCGCGGACGCCTTCGTCGCGTTCGCCGCGGCGGCGAACCAGTGGCGCAGCAGGCGGTCCCCGGCGTTGCCCGGCACGACGCGTTCGACGTCCGCGGCGAAGAACGCGTTCGCTGCTCTGCCGAAGGCCCGCGGGTCGTCGCCGCCGCCGAAGGCGCGCTCGAGGGCGTGGCCCGCGCAGTAGAGGTCCGTCGCCGCGGCGCCGTCGGACGCCACGCGCAGGGACGCGAGGCTCACGTTTCGGTCCGCGCACGCCGCGTGCGACGTCGGCGACGGCGGCGACGCGACGCGTCGTACGGGGAACGACGGCTCGAGCGCCGCGCCGACGATGGCGCCGGCGTCGTCCGCCGCGAAGGCGAGGCGCCGCGACGTCAGCATGGCGAGCGCCAGGCTGCCCAGGAAGCCCGACGCCTGGTCGCCGAGGCCGCCGCCGCCGAAGGAGGCGACGAGGAGTTTGCTGGATGGGTCGACCTGCGGACCTCTGGCGAAGGCGGCGATCTCGCGCCGCACGAGGTCGCAGGCTGGTGTTTCGATGCGGAACGCGGCGGAACATCGTAGCAGCGCGATGAGGGCTGCACCTCGCATGATGCCATCGTCTTGCTTCACTTTGGGGGAAATGAATCCGATGTTGCGGCGGGGCAGCCCAAAGCTTCGGCATGGGAGAGCAGTTCGGCATTTTGGGAGCTTTCTACGCCTAAAAGCATCATGGTAGCGGCGCACGCGCGCCATGTCGCGCCCGGGCGGCCCATCAGGCGGCGGCGGCGACCGGCGACCGCGCCCTTCCTCGTCTTCAAGTCGGCGCTCTCGCGACACGACCTCGGGCGGTTCCAGCGGTTCGTCCAAGCGCGCGGCATCGCGCTAGAGCCGGCGTCGCACGTGAACGGCGGCGACGAGGCGGCCCGAAAATCCAAGATCTCGTGGCTCGCGCCGCCGGAGGGCGTGCCGAGCGCCGAGAGCTCCGACGACGACGACGACGACGAGCCGCGCCGCGCGCCGCGCTGGCTCTTCCGAAACCTGCGCCGCTGCGTGGTCGCCGCCGCCCGGGCCTGGCCACGCGTCGCGGCCGCGGACCTCGCCTACGAGAGCGTGCAGCTGGCGACCTACGGCGTCGGCGGCCACTACCGCCAGTGGCACCGCGACAACGACGGCGTCGACGACGACGCCGCTCCCCGGGCGTTCTCCGTCGTGGCGCTCCTCGAGGCCTGCGACGCCGGCGGCCGCTTCGAGGTCCTCCTCCAGCGGCGGGGCCGGCGCCGGCGCCGGCGCGCCGCGCGGCGGTGGGTCCGGCGTCCCGTCCATCTCCGGCCCGGCGACGCCGTCGCGTTCCCCTCGGCGACGCTCTGGCACCGCGTCTCCCCGGTCTTGGCGGGTCACCGCGCGAGCCTCGTGCTCTGGGCGCGGGAGCGGCGCGGCCTCGACGACGCCGCGGACGACGACGACGACGACGACGAGTGGAACGCGATCCAGCGCCGCTTCGAGAGCGGCGCGGCGCGCGACGACTTCGACGACGTCGCGTGAGGATGGAATTCAGGCCCCCGGGCTCAGTAGGCGCGTGGCGTCCTCGGTTACTTGGGCGGGGCGCGCGTCGAAGGTCGAACGGGGAGCGGGGCCGCGGCGGACTTGGCTCAGAAGGAGACCATTTCCTTCGGGGGCCGCGACGACGTCACGTCCGCGCGTCGTCGGCCGCGCTTGGAGAACATGCCCGAGCCGCCGCCGCGGAGCTTGCCGTTTCCGTAGCGGTTGAGCTTGACCTTGGCCGTCGCCATCTCCTGCTTCGTGCGGAGCGAGAGCTGGCAGGCGGCCTCCTCCTCGAGGGTCGCCACGGGCGTCGGCGCCGGCGCCTCGCCGTCGGCCTCGTCGCCGCTCATGGCGACGTCGTCCTCGTCCTCGTCCTCGTCGTCGTCGTCGCCGGCCTCGTCCTCGGGGACGAGCTCCTGCGACGGCCGGACGATGGCGTCGTAGTAGGCCTTGCCCAGGTCCACCTGGCCCGCGCCGAGGGCGCCCTTCATGAACTTGAGCGTCTTCGTGTTCTCGCGGCCCGCGCGCTTCGCGGCCCCGCGCTTCGAGGCGGCGTCGATGTTCGCGCTGCGCACCTTCTCGCCGATGGTCGCGCGCATGTACGAGCGATGCTTCTTCTTCACCTTCGAGCGCACGGACTTGGCCATGTTTTCAGGCGACCTCACGTGAGGTGGAGACGCGAGCTTCGGCCCACCCTGCTTATCGCCTGGGCGGCAATGTCGGCGCCGCTCGCTTTGATGCACTCATGTTGACGCTCACAAAAAGTCCTCCCGCGCAGCCCACCAGGCGCCTCTCGCCGCCGTCGGCCGGCGCAGCCCCGCGCGAATATGAAGCTCCTGCCGGCGGGCGACGAGCGGCGGAAGGACATGGCGCGGGGCGCCTTCGTGGGCATGATGCTGCCGAGCCTGATCCTCGTGATCGTGCTGCTGCGCCAGTTCGGCGCCGACAGCACGGTGACGTCGCGCGACTCCGGCGCGCCGCTGGAGATCCAGGAGCGGCTCCACCCCATCGTGAAGCGGCCGCCCGTGCGGCGCGTCTACGCCGGGGGCCGCAACAAGACCGTGTCCTTCTCCGCGGCGAACCCGTACAAGCGCGGCAACTTCGCGCCGCCCTTGCTGCGCGGCAACGGCACGGCGGCGGCGCTCGCCAAGCCCTGGGAGCTCCGCGAGGCCAAGAACGCGAAGCAGCTCGCCAAGGCCGTGGAGGCCAAGTCGAAGATCGGCAAGGCCATCCTCAAGGCGAAGCAGCGCAAGGAGGAGCAGGCGGCGGCCGCCGCCGGCGCCGCGAACGCGGCCGTCTTCCCCGCGCCCGCGCCCCTGCGCAAGGCGCAAAAGGTCTTCGACGCCGCGAAGACGGGCAAGGGCTTCGCGCCCGGCGCCGCCGTCGAGCCCGCGGAGGGCGCGAAGCTCGCGACTTTGAAGAGCTTCACCAACCTCCTCGCGAAGAAGTGCGTGTCGATCGTGGGCTTCTACAACAGCGAGGACGCGGAGATGAGCCGCGAGTTCGCCGTCATCTGGAACGCCGTCGCGGGCAACGAGGCGACGAAGTTCGGCGCGGCCTACGTCGACGTCGCGACGAAGGGCGGCTTGGAGATCGCCGTGAACGCGACGGTCGTCCGCGCGGACGGCGACGCCAGGGCCGCCGTCGGCACGCCGGCGATTCTGGAGTACTACGTCCGCGGCGACTCCTCCGTCTTCAAGACGACGTACAAGGACGCGCGCGAGGTCGGCGCCGTCGGCGCGCGCGCGGGCAAGGACGCGGCCGCCGCGTCCAAGGACGACGCCGTCGCGGGCGTGACGAAAAAACTGGCGAACCACGCCGAGGGCCAGCAGTTTGCCATCTCCAAGGAGGGCTGCTTCCTCAAGCACGCGACCAAGGCCAAGGCCGACGCGGCCGACGCGGCGAAGAAGGACGCCAAGGCCAAGGCGCAAAAGGCCAAGGACAAGGCCGCGAAGAAGGAGGCGTCGGGCGAGTCGAAGAAGAAGAAGGACAAGAAGGACCTCGAGGAGAAGGAGGCCGACGCCATGACGACGGCGTAGGGGCGCGTAAGGCCTCAGTGTGGGAGAGCATCTCGAAACCCCCGGGGAATCTCCGGGCCCCGGTGCGGCGGTCCGACTCGATCGAGAAGGTTCACGATGGGCCCAAGCCGCTCGTTGGGTAAGCTCTGCGAATCGTCTAGCGAGGACGAGGGCGAAGACATCGAGATGTTCTCGCCACCGTCGAAGAAATCGTTCTTCGATTCGTCGAGTGACGACGACTCGGAGTGCGACGAGCCGCCCAAGAAGAAGACAAAGCCTTTCTCTCCGGCGCAGCCGCGCGTCGACGCGGACGGCGCCGACGCGCCGGCCGACGCGTTCGCCTGCGCGGACCCGGAGGCCCTGACCGCCGCGGAGAGCGACGCGTTCCTCGCGCGCGCGCTCGCGCGGCGCGGCTTCGGCTTTCCGCCGCTGCCGCACCAGCTCGCGGCGATCCGCTTCGCCGCGGGCGTGCCCGCGGGCTGGCCGCGGGCGATCGTCGGCGGCGACTGCAACGAGACGATGGCGTCGGCCGCGCTGACGGAGGACCGCCACGCGGTGCTCGGCGACGAGATGGGCCTCGGCAAGACGGTCGAGACGCTCGCGGCGTGCGTCCTGCGGCGCGCCGTCTACGCGGCGCGCGCGGGCCGGGCGGCCGCCGCGCGGCGCGGCGCGGCGAGCGTCGCCGCGCCGCTCGCGGCGGTGATCGTCGCCCCGAACGACGGCGTCCTGCAGCAGTGGCAGCAGCACCTCGCGAAGCTCGAGGCCGCCGTGCACCTCTACGGCGGCGCGGACCGCGACGCGGCGCTCGAGCGGACGCTCGCGCGCCACGCGGACCACGCGGACCGCGGCGAGCGCGCGCTCTACGTCCTCCTGACGCGGTACACGCTGATGAACGCCGTGCGCAAGGGCTGCGACTTCAGCTCGCCCCGGAACTGCGCGCTCTTCCCGCGCGCGACGCCCCTGCTCCTCCGCAAGCTCCACGTGCTCTACCTCGCGAAGCAGAAGCCCGAGGACTTCAAGAAGCAGCTCGAGGACGGCACGCTGGGGCGCCAGGACCCCGACATCGTCTGGTACCACGAGCTGCAGCGCAAGGGCACGGACGACGAGTCGGCGATCATCCGCGACCTCGTCGCGGAGCACCTACTGCCCGTCGAAAAGCCGACGTTCGACATCGTCTGCGTCGACGAGGCGCACATGATTCGCAACGACGCGGCGTACTGGGGCCTCGGCGCCGCGCTGCTCGGCCACCACGCGCGGCGTTTCGTCGCGGTCACGGGCACGCCGTTCAACAATTCCTACGCGAACGTCGCCGCGCTCGTCGGCTTCGGCGACGCGACGCACGAGGCGGCGAGCGTAGACTGGTGGAAGGACGCGATTGTCGATCGCAAGACGACGCGCAAGAAGAGCACGCGCGAGATCATCGAGTGGACGCGGCGCTGGCGCGTGCACGACGACGGCAGCCCGCGCCACTTCCTCGCGCGGCGCAAGGAGATCGTCCTGAAAGGCCTGCCGACGAAGACGCAGGGCACCCTGGACGTGCCCGTCGTCAAGGCCCTCGACGCAACGCTGTCGGACGTCGACGCGGCCATCGCGGCGCTCGACGCGACGCAGTCGGGCGAATTCAAGGTCTACGCGTTCTTCGAGACGCAGGCCGTCGCCTACTACCGCGAGTTCTGCGGCGTCATGTTAGCGCTCAGTATGGGGGATCGGACGCCGGGGCTGAAGGCCAAGGCGAACCGGCTCATGAAGCTCATGTGCTGCTACTTTCAGATGGCGCGGTCGTCGTTGCTGCATCCCGTCGCGCCGCACGGGGGCCGCTCCATCACGCAGACCTTCGTGCCGAAGCGCAAGGCCTACATCCACAACAAGTGCGTCTGCTGCGAGGAGAACGCCCTGGAGGCGTCGACGTCGATCATGAGCAATCTCCTCAACGGCGTCGACGTGCGACGGAGCCGGTCCCCGAAGACCGACGGCGGCGACGACGACGACGACGAGGTCGATCCCCTCCCGGACGCGCCGCCGACCGACGACGGCGACGACGGCGTCGAGGCCGAGGATCCGAAGGAACTCGTCACGCTCCCAAAGGGCTTTTGCGACATGCGCCACAAGGTCCACCGCCGGTGCTTTCGCGAGCTCGAGGCCGCCGACGTCCTCGACACGCCGGGCGCGTGCCCGCGGTGCGTCGATCTGAAGGCGCGTTTGAAGATGGGCGCCCACGCGCCGGGCGAAGCGCCGAAGCTCTACTGCGCCAAGGTCGCGCCCCACTACGGCTTCGCGACGTCGTCTAAGCTCGAGGCGGCCCTCGACTGGATCAAGGGCAAGTGCCTGCGGCCGGCCGAGGCGGACCGCGAGAAGGTCATCGTCTACTCGTTCTTCAAAAGCTCGCTGGACCTGATCGAGGCCGTCCTCATCCACGAGCAGGAGGAGTTTGCGGGCTGCGACGCCGTGCGCTACGACGGCGACGTGAGCGCGGAGCAGCGCTTCGCCGAGCTCGAGCGCTTCAAGACCGCGCCGTCGGTCAACGTGCTCCTGGCGACGGTCGCGACGGCGGGCGTCGGGCTCAACATCGTCGAGGCGAACAACGTGCTGTTCCTCGATCGCTGGTGGAATCCCACGGTCCACGACCAGGCGATGGACCGGACGCACCGCCTCGGCCAGACGCGGCCCGTCGACGTCCGCTTCCTCGACGGCGTCGACACCGTCGACGAGGTCATGCGCGCGATCAACAAATTCAAGTCGGACAACGCCCAGGTGATCCTCGCGTCCGAACCGGAGCTGCCCCGGCTCGCGACGAAGAGCGTGACCTGGAAGGACACCTCGAAGCTCATCGGGGATGAATTCGCGCGCATCTTCGAGTCCCGCGCGCGCAAACTCGGCATCGAGAAGCTCATGCAGGCGGACGTCTTCGACAACGTGCCGGACCCGCCCGCGCCCGGCGACCCGAAGGGCCCGCGCGACCGGCGCCAGGTCGACGTCCCGCGGTCGATGCAGGCCGACCCCATCCGCGTCGTCCCAAAGAAGATGGAGACCGACGACGAGGACTACGAGCTCGTGGTCGTCGTCCCGTCCGACGAGGCCGCCGCCGCGCGCGCGCTCGCGGGGTCGCCCTCGGCGCCCTCCGTCATCGACCTCATCTCCGACGACGACGACGACGACGCCGCGCCGCCCGCCGCGCCGACCCGCGGCTGGCGATGCCCGGCGTGCACCGTCGTCAACGAGAACCCGGCCTTCCTCTGCTGCGCGACGTGCGGGACCGAGCGGCCGCCCTAATTCTTACGAGCCCACCGCCGCGCGCCGCTCCGCCCCCGAAACGTCCGGTCGGTCGCCCGCGCCGGCCGCGCGCGCCACCGCCACGCCGAAGAGCGTCGCGCCCTCGACGCGGTCCACGTAGACGTGGCAGAAGTCGCCCTCCGCCAGCGCCGTGCCGTCGGGGAGCGCGTCCGGGAAGACGATCTTGCGGTAGCCGTCGTTGCGGCCCGTGACGAAGGTCCCGTCGGCCCCGGCGGGCGCGCGCTTCGGCGCGCCCTCCACCAACACGAGGTGCGTCTCGCCGACGGCCTCGTGCGACAGTTCATCCCGCCCCGCGCGGAACGCGGCGATGATCTCGTTGAGGCGCCGGTTCTTGACGTCCGCGGGAACGTCGTCGTCGAGCCGCCGCTGCGCGGGCGTGCGGTCCCGCGAGCTGTAGGCGAAGAGGAAGGCCATGTCGTAGCGGATGTCCTCGATGAGCGCCACCGTCGCGTCGTGGTCCGCCTCCGACTCGCCGCAGAAGCCCGCGATGAAATCGCTCGAGAGCGCGACGCCCGGGATCGTCTGTCGCGCGCGGTCCACGAGCGCCCGGTACGCGTCGTCCGTGTAGCCCCGGCGCATGGACCGCAGCACGGCGTCGGACCCGGACTGGGCCGGCAGGTGGAGCTGCTTGGCGACGTTCGGCGTGTCGGCGACGGCGCGCAGCAGCGCGTCGGGGAAGTCCTTGGGGTGCGGCGACGTGAACCGGATCCGCGCGTCCGGCGCGGCCTCCGCCACGGCCACCAGCAGCTCGGCGAAGCGGACGCCGTCCGCCATGCCGTCGCGCTTCGCCGACTTGACGAAGGGCACGAAGCCGTCCGAGTACTCGCGCGGCAGGCCCCACGCGCTCGCCGTCTTCGCGTCGTGGTAGGAATTCACGTTCTGTCCGAGCAGCGTGATCTCGCGGACGCCGGCGTCGTAGAGCGCCGCCACCTCGTCCAACACCGTCGTCACGGCGCGGCTCCGCTCCCTACCTCTCGTGTAGGGCACGATGCAGTACGCGCACGCGTTGTTGCAGCCCCGTTGCACCGAAACAAAAGCGCCGTGGCGCATCGTCGGGTCCGCGCGCGTCGGGAAGACCTCGCCGTAGTCCTCGACCAGCGAGAGCTTCGTGTCCATCTGGGGGCCCGAGCCGACGTTGCCCAGAAGCCGCGGCAGCTCGCGGTACGCGTCCGGACCGACGACGACGTCCGCGAGCCCGTTCTCGAAGAGGCCCTCCTCGACGCGCTCCGCCATGCACCCGAGCACGGCGACGGTCTGCCGCGGCCTCCGGTGCGCCGCGAGCTTGACGCCGTGGGGCGCGCGGCCCCGGAGATCGCGGAGCCGCGTCCAGACCTTGGCCTCGGCCTTGTCGCGGATCGCGCACGTGTTCAGCAGGACGACGTCCGCGGCCGCCGCCGATGTGGCCTCGCCGTAGCCGCCGTCGAGGAGCAGGCTCCGCACGACCTCCGAGTCGCTCACGTTCATCTGGCAGCCGCGCGTCTCGATGAAGAAGGAGCTCCCGTTGGACGGCGCGGCCGGGGCGGCGGCGGGCGGCGCGCGCGCCTCGTGCTTGAGCTTCCGGCGCAGCGCCGCCAGGCGCGGCTGGCTGCTGAAGAGGCGGCGCATCCGGTTCGGCAGGGAGCGCTGGCAATCGAGTCCTTCTAGCACATCGCTTTGCTTCCTTGCAAGGCCTTGGAGGTTGCGCTTCAACAGGGGCCTCAACACAGCCGCTTGCCCTTTAAAAGGGCCGGCGGGATTTGTCACACGCGATAGATGTTAGGCTAAAGCGACACTCGAGCGGGGGGGGGGGGGGGGTCGAGCGGGCGGTCTACGGGCGGTCGTCGGTGTGAGCGGCGGACGTCGATGAGGCGGGCGAGTGGCGAGCGGCGATTGGCGTCGGTGTCGCGGCGAGCGGCGATTGGCGGTCGAGCGGATGTCGATGAGGCGGGCGAGTATGAAGCCGATGTATTTTTCGAACGGGCCGGCGTGTCTTCTCAGCGACGGCTAACGGGGGCCTATCCGAAGGACTTGGTGGAGCCGCTCTCCTTGCGCTTCTCGCGCTTGCGGTCCTGCTCCTCCTTCTTCTTCGCGGCCTTGTCCTACAAGAAGTTCTGGTGAGGGGAGGGGCGGGGGGCTATGCGCGACTCGAAGAAGGAGGCCCGACTCAGGGGCGTCGATGCAGGCGCGCCCGCCCGGCGAGACCCGCCCCCGGCGACCGAGCGCGGGCACTCGATTCCTGTTAGGACGCTGGGCGCGGACGGGATTCGCCTTGGCCTTGTTCTCCTGCTTCTTCTTCTTCTTCTCCGCGTCCGTGAGCTTGTCGGGGATCTTGTCGCGTCCGCCGCCGGCCTGAGTTTGCTTCGGCGCCATGGTTGCTTGACGACACTCTTTGCGATGTGCAAGCAGCAACGTCACTGCTCGCCCCCGGCCGCCTGCAGGCGCGTAGTATGGGCTCGTCCTCGGCCGAAATCGCATCGTTTCGAGCGCGGCTTGAATCTACGGGTTCGCACGAGACCCTGTCCGATGCTGCAACGCGCAGTGTCATTTCGCGCTAAAGTCTGATTCGGATATTCAATTCCATGAAAAGGAGGAACAGATATAGTGCTACCTGATAGAGTTTCATGTTTAAAGGCAACATATTTTAGAATTTAGACATTAATCGATACTCGTTTACAATGTTTTTCTTTTATTACACATTTGCAACAATTCAGTGTAGAGTTTCCACATGGATGAGATATGTCTATGAATGCTCTTGTATCATTTATAAAAAATAGAATACAGCCATATCGCACATCATTCCAAAGAGGATTTCCTGTAATATAGCCGGTTATGTATCTATAAGCCGTGCTATTAATTGAATCTTTTAAAATTGAGAACAATATTTTGATTTTTTCTTCATTACTTTCCAAAACAACAGGACTGAAAGACGTTTTGAAATAATCATAATAAAACTCACCACTTATAATGACATTGTTACCTGGTTTTTTCTTTCAAGGCCTGGTTCAATGTGAAGGAAGTGCCTCGGTGCCTCATAATCGAGTGGCAGCCCCGCAATGTCTGTTGGCAAGCCGTGACCATCGTGCGCCGCTCGGCTTTGGCTCGTGGCTGTTCGGCAGCACAAGTGATCACACCATGGCCAAGGAATCGCCGCGGCGCCTGCTCGAGGCCTGCGGGCGCGGCGACGCGGCGCAGGTGCAGACGATCCTGTCGGGCTCGCGCGTCGACGTCAACGCCGACGAGCGGGGCTGGACGCCGGCCTACGTCGCGGCGCAGAACGGCCACACGGCCGTGCTCAAGGCCCTCATCGGGGCGGGCTGCGACGTCAACGCGAGCCGCGAGGACGGCGCGGCGCCCGCGCTGATAGCCGCCGAGAAGGGCCACGGGGAGACGCTCGAGGCGCTCGTCGCCGCGGGCTGCGACGTGGACCACGCCAACGGCGAGGGCTGGACGCCGGCGCTCTTCGCCGCCCAGGAGAACCAGACGGAGGCGCTCGGCGTCCTGTTGCGCGCGGGCTGCGACGTGAACAAGGCGGAGAACGACGGCTGGACGCCGACGGCCATCGCCGCGCAGCAGGGGTCGACGGAGGCTTTGGCCATGCTTTTGGGCGCGTCGAGCGACCCGAACCGCGCGGCCCACGACGGCGCGACGCCCGTCTACATCGCCGCGCAGCAGGGCCACGTCGGCTGCGTCGACCTGCTATTACGCCACGGCGCGGACTGCTCCGCGGCGGCCTACGACGGCGCGACGGCGGTCTACATCGCGGCGCAGAAGAACTTCACGGACGTGCTCCTCGCCCTGCTGCGCGCGGGCGCCGACGTCGCGGCGGCGACGGCCGCGGGCGCGACGCCCGTCTACATCGCCGCGGAGCGCGACTGCGCGGAGGCGCTGACGATGCTCCTGTCCTACGGCGGCGACTGCAACGCGGCGAACGCGTCGGGCGCGACGCCCTGCTACGTGGCGGCGCAGAACGGCGCGGCCCGGGCGCTGGCCGTGCTCCTCGCCGCGCGCGCGGACCCGCGCGCGGCGACGGCGCAGCACGTGACGCCGCTCTTCATCGGGTGCCAGAAGGGCCACGCGGACGTCGTCCGGGCTTTGGTCGCCGCGGGCGCCGACGTCCACGCCGTCACGGACTCGGGCGCGACGCTCGTCTACATCGCCGCGGGCGCGGGCCACGCGGACGTCGTCGCCGCGCTCCTGGACCTCGGCGGCGACCCGCACCGCGCCAAGGCCAACGGCGAGACGGCGTGCTTCGCGGCGGCGAAGCAGGGCCACGCGGACTGCGTCGGCGCCCTCATCCGCGGCGGCGTCGACGTGAACCAGGAGAACGAGGAGGGCTGGACGCCCGTCTACATGGCCGCGTACAACGGCCACGCGAAGGCCCGCGTGGAACTCAAACCTTCAATCCGACTTCAATGTGAGCATACTCGAACGGTTTGGACCAGACTCTTCGGCCGTGCTTCGAGAACTCGATGAGAGCAATCGATCCGTCCAAAAATCAGCCGCATCGACGTCGATTTGACCGAGCTAGAGAATTTCAAAGTTTGGTCGGGACGTCCCAAACCAGCGGTCGATTTGCACACAGGCGAAGGCGCTCGGCGCGCTCATCGCGGGCGGCTGCGACGTGGACCGGCCGAACAAGCTCGGCTGGACGCCGGCCTGCATCGCGGCGCAGCACGGCCACCTCGAGGTGCTCCTGGCCCTCGTGGGCGCGGGCTGCGACGTGAACCGCGCGGCGCACGGCGGCGCGACGCCCGCGCTGTTCGCCGCGCAGGGCGGCCAGACGCTGGCGCTCAAGGCGCTGATCAAGGCCGGCGCCGACGTGAACCTCGCGGAGAACGACGGCTGGTCGCCCGCGTCCCTCGCGGCGCAGAACGGCGAGACGGACTGCCTGCTCGAGCTCATCGCCGCGGGCGCGGACGTGAACCTGGCCGCGAACGACGGCGCGTCGCCGCTCTACATCGCCGCCCAGCAGGGCCAGACGGCGGCGCTGAACGTGCTCATCGCCAACGGCGCCCTCGTCGACGCGGCGACGCGCGACGGCGCGACGGCGTGCCGCGCGGGGCGGCACAAGGGTGATTCAACGTCGCTTCAACGTGAGTGTTCCACGCGAGTGTTCTAGAAAAAGCGTCCACGCTTCGAGAGCGCTCCGAGGGATGATCGCTCGTCCAAGAATCAGCCGAAACGAGCGGAAAACGACCGAGAGAGGAGCCTTTGAAGTTGGGAAATTCGCACCCTTGTGCCGCCCAGGTGCTGCGCGGCCGCGGAGAAGGGCCACGTCGACGCGCTCGTGCGCCTCGTGGCCGCGGGCGCGGACGTGAACCAGGCGGAGAACGACGGCTGGTCGCCCCTCGCCTTCGCGGCGCAGAACGGCCACGCCGACTCCATCGGCGAGCTCGTCGCCGCGGGCGCGGCCGTCGACGCCGCGGCGAACGACGGCGCGACGCCGTGCTACATCGCCGCGCAGCAGGGCCAGGCCCACGCCCTCGCCGTCCTGCTGGCGGCCAAGTGCGACGCCAACGCGCCGAACAACTACGGCGTCACGCCGCTGCTCATCGCCGCGCAGGAGGGCCGCGTGTCGACGCTCGCGGCGCTCGTCGTCGCCGGCTGCGACGTCAACAAGGCGACCTACAACGGCGAGACGCCCTGCTACATCGCCGCCTACAACGGCCACACGGACGCCCTGGCCATCCTCCTCGCCGCGGGCGCCGACGCGGACGCGGCGAACCAGGACCGCGCGACGCCGGAGACGATCGCGCGGCAGAACGGCCACACGGACGTCGTCGCCACGCTCCGCGCGACGAAGCAGGCGAGCCGCTCCCGCGTCCGCCGGCTCGGCCGGGAACTCTCCTTCCTCGTCTGCGGCAAGGGCGCGTGAGGAGGGCGCGCGGGGTAAGGCCTGTCGTGGTTCCCCTCCCTGGTGGGCCTCCTGGTTGAAGCGCTTGTTGCGGCGAAGGTGCCGCAGAGCCTCGGCTCGGCCGCAAAGGCACCACTGCTGCGCTTCGCGCGCGCCGCGCGCACCCCCACCTGCACCGCGCCACGCGCCACGCAGCCCCTCGTGATGGGTTCGATGCTCTCCCGCGCCGCGGCTCCGGGCCCGGCCCGCGCCGCGGCTCCGGGCCCGGCCCGCGCCGTGACTCCGGACGCGGCCGCGGCGCCGCCGGAGAAGCGGCGGCGGTCCGGCGGCGCGGACGCGCTGACGCACGCCGTCGGGTCCGCGGCGGTCGTCACGAGCGTCCTCTCGTTCTCCGGCTACCTCACCGTCCTGCAGCTGGAGGCCTGCTCCTGGGCGGTGCGCCGGAGCGTGCGCGACGCGGGCGAGCTCTCGCTGCGCGTGTCGACGGGCCGGCGCCGGGGCCTGCGCACGGTCGCGATCGTCGCGTGCCGCGGCGCGCTCCTCGCCGCGCGGCGCGCGGGCTGCATCGCCCCGGACCAGCGCGTCGTCACGCTCATCTGGCACAAGTTCAAGCACGCCGACAAGGTGCCGAGCGACATGGCCTACTTCGACGGCTACGCGCTCGTCCCCTCGCCCCGGAAGCGCGCGGCGCCCGTGCGCGCCGAGGCCGGCGACGGCGTCGACGCGGCGCGGAGCGCGGCCGCGCGCGCGGCGCTCGAGCGGCAGCACGCGGCGCTGATCAAGACCGGCGTCGTCGTCTTCGACATGTCGGCCTCGCGCCGCGACGCCGCGCCGCGCCGCGACGGCATGAAGCGGCTGAACCACGACCGCGTCCTGTCCCACGCGAACGACGACGTCCCGGCGGACCCGGCGCGCGCGGCGCTGCTCGTCGAGGCCCTGGGCCCCCTCGCGACGCGGACCCCCCTCCGCGACGCGGCGCGCCGCCGCTACCTCACGACGACCGACACCTTCTACGTGTCGAAGCGCGCGCTCGAGGCCGCGCTCGCGCGGTCCGCGGCGGCGGCGAGCTCCGTCGACCTCGCGGCGCTGCGGCGCCTCGTCGCGCGCTTCGCGTGGCGCACGTTCCTCGAGGACCGCAGCGGCGACGACGACGCGGGCTCGGACTACGACGTCGGCGGCCGGGAGCGGCGCAAGTTCCACGTGACGAAGGAGCAGTTCGACGTGCTCTGCCGCGAGGTCGCGACGCCGCGCGGCGACGAGATCTGGGCCGAGGCCATGGCGGGCCTCCTGCTGCCGCTCGCGCCGATCTGGGTCTCCTCCGAGGACGAGTGGCGCGAGCCGGGCGACGTCCGCGAGGGCGACGTCGCCGCGCTCGACCTCCCGCCGTCGCTCAAGCCGGCGTGCCTCGCGCTCGCGGCGACGGAGCGCTGCGGCGGCGACCCCGTCGCCGTCTTCTCGCCGGACATGGAGAAGCGCAGCGGCGTCCTCGCCACGCACTTCGACGCCTTCGGCACCACGATCTTCCCGGCCCTCGCCGTCCTCGACGACCTCGCGCACCCGCGCGATGGCGAGGCCGACGGCGCGGCCGGCGCCGCGCGCGTCGAAGCGGCGATCGCTTCCCTGCTCACGGCCGAGCGCCTGCCGCCCCTGAAGGCGGGCGACGCCGTCCGCGTCCTCGACGATCGGGACGCGGACTGGCGCGAGGCGGGCTTTACCGACGGCCAGTGGTCGGACGCGACCTTCGTCAAGTTTGACGACAGTTTGACGGCTGTGGTGAAGGTCGGGGACGAAGACGAGGAAGTCCTCTTCGGCGCGATTCAGCGCCGCTATTACGATGCTCCGCCAGCCGCGAAGCTCCTCACGCTCGCGGTCATGGATGGCCGCAATGACGTCGTCGCGCGCTTGCTCCGGCCCGGGGGCATCGACCACGCGCTCATGTACGCCGTCCCGACGGACGCGAAGTCGAGATTCGATCCGCGCGCGACGGCCCTCGATCGAGCCATCGCCAAGGGCAACAGCGTCGCGGCCGCGCTCCTCGTGAATCAATACAGCGGAGGCGCGTCGTTCGTGCCGCACGCCTGCAATTCCGTGCGAAGGGAGAAGCACCTCATGGGCAACTTTAGCATCCGCCTCGAAGGCGAGTTTCTGCGAGCTCTCGGGCTCCATGATTACCCGAGTCCATCCCTTCTGTTCTCCTCTCACGGTCGTGAATCCGACGCCGTGACGTCGGCGGATGCCGGAGACCTCGTCGGCGTGCGTCGAGGTTTCGCCGCGTCGGCCGCCCGCGTTCGGCGAGCCGACCTCGTCCACAGTGTCTGGCAACGCGTGCCGGTAACGCGCATCCCAAAGCTGAGCGACGTTGTCGACGCTGCCGGCGATGCGCGAGTTACAGCGCGTTATGAGCTGGCGCAAGATGTGAATGACGTGCTGAAGGCCGGCGCCGCACGAGGCGACAAGGCGATCGTCGCCGAAGCACTACTTCAAATCGAGAGCTCTTGCGTCGATGACCCGACGAGCCGGATCATCCTCAAGCGCGGCCTAGAAAACGCGTTTGAAACGTGCGTCATGGAGGGACATGCGAGCTGTCTCGATTCTCTCCTTGATTCTTCGCTGGCTCAGGAGTACTTGAACGACTGGGGCACTCCAGAGTTGCGGCGCATGCGAATGATGAAAGCAGCAGCCGTCTTTGGTCACGTCGACGTCTTGAACATGCTGCAACGGCGCGGCATGCAGTTGAGCGATACGTATCTCTCTCTAGCGGCTAAGCATGGACAAGTCGACGCGGTTGCCGCTTTCTTGGGCGACGCATCCGTGTTGCAGGCCCTGCGCCAGAGTGAGACGAACGCTATTTCAAACGCCATCACTTACGGGCGCTTGGACGTTCTCGAAACGCTTCTCTCCGCTGATGGGATCTCGTTGGATTCTAATTCCTCTATGTCGTCTGACATGTTCTTGCAGCTCGCCGCAACCGAAGGTTTCAAGGACATCATCGAAGCGCTATTGGACCACGGCTTGCCCGTCGACTCTCGAGGATCCGAGACCCATTTGACGGCCCTCGGCATTGCCGTGAAGCACAATTTCTACGATCTCGCGAAGCTTTTGCTCGAGCGCGGCGCCTCGCTGTGCGCCACGCGGCCCGGAATCTTCAAAGTTCTCGCGTCAGTCGTCAATAAGGAGTACATGACCCACGACACAGCTCGTGTCGACATGGCACGCCTCCTCCTCGCCGCGCGACCGGAAGAGTGTACATTCGACGCCCGCGATGATTGTCAAGAAGCGGTCCTCTTCGCAACGATCAAAACCGCCTTAACCGGTCGCGAATCGAACTTCTTGCGATTCCTTTTGGAGGAAACCATCGCTTCTCCGAACGTGCCGTCGTCGGGATTTGGCGGAGCCACGGCTCTTCACTTTGCGATCTGCGATTACTCAAAGGATTGTGCTACGGCTTCGGTAACTGCCCTGGAGTCCAAGCTCGCGACGATACGCTTACTGATCGAGCATGACGCTGACTTGCACGCCGCTCGGACGACTGAAGTCATCGGAATGTTTGGGATCCCCGCGGGCATCACACCCTACGAGGCCATAAACCGCTGCCCGCCCGAGCATCGCGCCAAGCTGAAGGAGTTCGTCGACACCTGCGCCCAGCTCCGCGAGACGACGCGTCCGGAAGAAGGAGCCTCTTGAAATCGCCTCTGTTGGCGCTTGAGCACCTGTGCCCCCCCCCCGAAATTTTCGGCGAAAATGTGAAACTCAAATAAGAAGCGCCTGATGTCTATGGGCGACGCGCGGTCGCGAGTCCCTCATGAGGCGGCCGGCACCGTCAGCACGGGCCGGAACCTCTTCTCGTATTCGCCCGCGCGATCGTCGAGGCACGCCTGGCCGCAGCCGTTGTCCTTCCAGAGGCACTGCGCCTCGGTGAAGCTGGCCGGGTCGGCGCCGCAGGGGTCCGCCGCGAAGGCCTTGAGCGCGCGGTACCGCGCGAGCGCGCCGCGGTCGACGGCCGCCTCGACGAGCGCCGTCGCGCCGCGCCACAGCGCGTAGTCCTTCGTCTGGTGCCGTTCGAAGTCGGCGCCGTAGGCCGCGCGCACGCGCGCGAGCTGCGCCGCGCCCGCGGCGACGTGGCGCTCGCCCTGCTCGGCCGCGCCGCGCGCGGACGCGTTCTTCGCGGAGACGTAGAGGACGTCCGTGAGCGGCACGCCGAGGCGCGCCGCGAGGAGCGTCATGGTCTCGTCGTAGAGCTCGACGGTGCCGACGAGGTCGTAGGTCGCGAGGAGCCGCGCGGGCGCGTCGTGGGCCTCGGGGCTCGCGTACGAGAAGAGCGGGTCGTGGATTCCGAGGAGGTAGGCGCCGATGTCGCTGTCGTTGTGGGGCTTGTGCTTCCGCGTGACGCCAAAGTGGAGGTAGTTGGACACGGCGCGCGCGAGCGGCTCGCGCACCTAAGGAAGCGCGTCGGTCGCGCGAGGCGTTCGCGCGTTGTGACGACGCGGGTCGCGCACGACGGTGAAGAGGAACACTCGGCGCTCGAGCGGCGACGGCACGTGGAGGATGGCCTCGCGGAGTTTCATGTGGCTCGCCCAGACCTGCTGGCCGTTGCGGAAGGGGCCGCAGGGCACGGCGCTCGTCTCCGGGGGAGGGCAGTGGTGCTTGCCGGTCTTCCGCGCGCCGACGAGCCCGTGGCGCGCGGCGACGCGCCGCGCGACGCCCCCCGTCGTGCTGCTCGCGCACTTGGGGAGCTTGACGTAAAAAAGGAGCGACCGCTCGACGGCGTCGACGCCGGGCCGCCAGGCCTCGCCCAGCCGCGTGCCCGGACCGCGGGCGCCGGGGTCGTCGCAGCAGCCGGCGTGGAGGAGGAGGAGCAGGCCGCCGGCGAGGCGGCGCATGATGTGCACCGGGAGGGCTCCACCACAGTGACAGATGGGCGATTTACGATCAGTGGCGCGGCCCGGCGCGACGTCACGTCTCCTCGCCGCCCTGTAAATTTTGGTTTTACCTCAGTGCGATCGCCGACCCGGTCGACCTGGGCGGGCAGACGCTCGCGACCCGCGCGACACTCCACGACCACGCGCGAAGGTGTCCCAGCGCGGCCGCACTCCTAGTTCGCAAGAGATGGGCGCGATTTTTTCGTTCGCCGTGGCCCCGAGCCCACCGGTCGCCCCGCCACCAGAGAAGCGGCATCACCCTTCCGACGGCCGCGACGTGCTCACGAACACAGCGGGGTCGGCCGCCGTCGTTACGAGCGTCCTCGAATTCACGGGATGGGACGCAATCCTGGCTCTCGAAACGCTGTCGTGGGGCTGTCGCCGGAGCGTACGCGACGCGCCCATCTCCTTCCGCGTGGCGACGGACGCGCCCATGACCCGGGAGTTCCGGCGCATGGTCATCCTAGCGAACCGAGGTGCGCTCCTCGGAGCGCGGCGCGCGGGCTCGCTCGTCCCGGACCAGCGCGTGATCTCGACGATTTGGCACCGTGGCAAAGGCGCGGAACAAATCCCGGGCGACATGACCTACCGCGCGGGCTACGCGCTCGTGCCGACGCCCCGGAAGCCCGCGGCACCCGTGCGCGCCGAGCCCGGCGTCGACGTGGCGCGGAGCGTCGCGGCGCGCGCGGCGGTCGAGCGACAGCACGCGGCGCTCGTCAACAGCGGCGTCGTTCGCTTCAACATTTCGTCTCCCGTCGGGGACGCCGTCGCCGCGCGCGGCCTGCGCGCGCTCAAGAGCGACCGCATCGGATTTATGGGTGACCCCGAAAATGACAAGCCGGCGGATCCGGCGCTCGCGGAGGTGCTCATCGAGGCCCTGGGTCCCCTCGCGGAGCGCGCGCCCCTGATTGACGCGGCCCGCCGCAAGTTACTCCCGTATACGGTTGGGGGATACGTCAAGATGCGGACGCTCGATGCGGCGCTGGCGCGGTCCGCGGCGGCGGCGAGCTCCGTCGACCTCTCCACGCTACGCCGCCTCGTCGCGCGCTTCGCTTGGCGGACCTACCTCGAGAAACGCGAAAAAGACGGCGTCATCATGTCCTACGTGGACGAACAACAATTCAAGGTGCTCTGTCGCGAGGTCGCAGCGCCGCGTGCGGACGAGATCTGGGCCGAGGCGACGGCGGGCCTGCTGTTGCCTTTCGGGCTGCACCACGTATCGCCCGAGGACGGCGACTTCCGCGAGTTCGGCGACGTGCGCGTGGGCGACATCGCCGCGCTCGAACTCGACTCGGCGCTGGTGCTGGCGTGCACCGCGCTCGCGGCCTTGGAGCAGTGCGACGGGGACCCCGTCGCGGTCTTCTCCGCAGATTTCGACGCGCGTTCGCATGTCCTCAGCCAGTATTATGAGTGCGGCAACCGCCTCTACGTCAGCCTCGCGATTCTCGACGCGCTCGCCCTTCCGCGCGAGGGAGAGCGCGACGGCGAGGCCGGCGCGAAGCGCGTCGAGGCGGCTATCGCTTCCTTGCTGACGCCGGATCGCCTACCGGCTCTCCACGAAGGCGAAACCGTCGCGGTTCTTCAGAACTGGCATGAACGGGGTCCGTCCGACGGCCGGTGGTCGAACAATTCGACCTTTGTCAAAATCAAGGGCGACGGAGTCGCTATAATTAGCGACGCGGGCGTCGAGCGCGATCATATGATTTGCGGCATCCAGCGCATCAACGCGAGCGGCGAGGCTCCAGCGGCAGCGAGACTCCTCTGCGAGGCCGTCGCGGCGGGCCGCAACGAAATCGTCGTCCGCCTGCTCCGAGGGATGGAGTACGCGTCGATCTACGCCGTGCAGTTGGACCTCGACGAGCACGCGACCGCTCTCGATCGAGCCATCGACAACGGCAACAGCGTCGCGGCCGCGCTCCTCGCAGCGCAGCATGGACAGAATTTTCTCCCGCATGCCTGCAACGCCGTCCGCAAAGAGCGGCACCTCAAAAAGACGCTCAGCCTCCGCCTCCAAGGCGAGCTTCTGCGGGCCCTCGGCATTTACGACCGCGATACTGTGGATTTCCAAAATCCCATGGCTACTAGATTTGCAACGAGCAAATACGATCCATCGAATGAATCCGCGGAGGTTGCGAGTTTGGCAGCCGCGGGCGACCTCGTCGGCGTGCGTCGAGCCTTCGCGGCGGCGGTCGCCCGCGCTCGTCGCGCTCGTCGGCTCGCCGCGTTCGTCGAAGGCGCCTTGGAATGGATCCCCCAAAGGCTCGACGGACTCCTTGAAGACAAGATCGATTACGTTTTCGACGCCCGCTTTGAAGCGAGTCTCGCTCTGGGGCGAGATATGTGCGCGGCGCTGCGGCACGGTGCCGCGGCGGGCCGCGCAGAAATCGTCGCTGAAGCGCTGCTTCCGAGACCGGAACTGCTCGAGCATGACTTCGATCTCGGGATTGTTACCTATATGGCCTTTCGAACGTGCGTTTTGCAGGGACACGCGGACTGCATCGAGGCGTTTCTTGATTCTCGGGGGGCTCAGGAGCGAATGGAAGGGTCGGCGCCACCAGATTTCTGGCGCATGAATCAAATGCAGCAAATCGCCGCCGTTTTTGGCCATGTCCCGGTCTTGGCCATGCTGCACCGGCGCGGCGTGCCGCTCGAGGGCACCGCCTTAACGTTGGCGGCCATGCACGGGCAGGTCGGCGCGTGCGCCGCGTTGCTCCGCGACGAGCACGTTCGCCAGGCTATATGTCGGGGTGACGACAGTGCCATCGCCCAAGCCATCGCCTACGGGCGGGCGGACGTGTTGGACACGCTCCTTTCCGTGGAAGGCGTGTCGCTCGACCCGGCTTCTTGGCTGGGCGCGCCGCAGCCCGGCATTTTCATGCAGCTCGCGGCGAAGAACAATTCAATCGACATCATCAAGTTGCTGTTGGATCACGGATTGCCTGTCGATGCAACGTGCGACCCGCCGGACGCGAACTCCGTGCCCTTTGCGGCTCTGGCCATCGCCACGAAACACAATTTCTACGATCTCGCCAAGCTTTTGCTCGAGCGGGGCGCCTCCGTGTGCTCTGAAGCTGCAGGCGCTTCGGCTTTCAGATCGTGTATGAACGCCGTGACGAGAGATTATGCGTTGGATCCAACAGCTCGCGTGGAAATGTTGCGGCTCCTCGTCAGCGCGCGACCCGATGAATGCACTTTCGACGAGCGAGACGGCTGCCGGGACGCGGTCATCCTCGCGACGGTGCAGCCCGGATCGGACCTGCTACGATTCCTGCTCGACGAAGCGAACGCTTCTCCGAATCAGACCGATGGTTCTACAGGAGCCACGGCCCTCCACTACGTCATCGTCGATGATCAGCTGCCCTTGGATCGCAAGCTCTCGGTGCTTGGCTTGCTCATCGACCACGATGCCGAGCTCCACACCGCCCGGACGACCAACAGCAGCGAGCACGGTTTTCCCGCGGGCGTCACGCCGTACGAGGCTCTGGACTACGCGCCGCCACCGCAGCGCGCCAAGCTGCAGGAGTTCGTCGACGCGCGCGTCGCGCTCCGCGAGCCGCGCCGGGAGGCCGGAGAGACTCCGTGCTAATAAGGTTAATGGCAACCCCGACTAGGCGCGGCGCTTCCGCAGCGCCGCGAGCGCCGCGAGCGCCGCGACGGCCGAGCCCGCGAGGACCGGGAGCGCGTGCGTGCGCTTGTCGGAGCGGGCGACGCCCGCGTCGAGGAGGAGGGAGAAGAGGCGGCGGAGGACGGTCTCGCCGAGGGCGCGGCCCGGGCCCGGGCGCCAGAGGAAGGAGAAGAGGTAGGGCTCGGGGCAGCCGCCGTTGAGGAGGATCGCGGCGAGCGAGTTCTGCGCGAAGGGCCCCCGGAGCCGCGTCTCCGCGACGCAGGCGACGGCGTCGGCGAGGAAGACGTCGAGGGCCGACCTGTCGCCGTCGATCTTCCGCAGGCAATGGGGCGTGAGGCTCAGCGCCCAGCCGTACTGGCACTTGTCCGCGTCCTCCGGGTGCAGGTTGTAGAGGAACGCGGTCGAGTGGCCCCGTTTCTTGAGCCGCGCCGTGAGCACCGACGCCGGCGCGTAGACGGCGAGCACCGTCGAGCCGCGGACGCGGTGCTCGCCGTGGACGACGCGCGCGCCCGCGGCCTCGAGCGCGCGCTCCGCGCCTTTCACCGCGGCCGCGAGCTCGCGGTACTTGCGATAATAGCCGGCGACGCCGACGAAGAGCACGTCCGCGAGCGCGCGGATGAGGTGGCCCCGCGTCGGCCGCGCGCCGACGCGGTCGAAGCCCCGGAGGTGGGCGAGCGTGCCCGGCGTGCCGACGACCGTCGACACGCCCTTGTCCGTGCCCAGGTGCTTGTGCGCGTCGAGCGTCACAATAGTCGGCACGTCGCGACCCACCGTCAAATCGAGGGCGCGGTAGGATTTGGACCCGTCGGCGCCGTCGTTGTGCACCAAAACGCAGAACGCGAGGCAGCAGTCGTTGATGAACGTCACGGGCTCCAACTTCAGGGGCCTCCGCCGCGCGTTCTCCGCGGCGACGGCGTCGACGACGGCGGCGACGTCGTCGCTGATGCCGTCCGTGTAGCTCAGCGTCTGCGCGAAGACCGCGCGGACCGCCGGGTTTTTGAGCGCCTCCGGGAGCCGCGCGACGTCGAGCGCGCCGCGGTCCTCGAGCCGCTCGAGCGCGAAGCCGAAGCGCCGCTCCGCGCGCTCGACGGCGAGGTGCGGGTTGCCCGTGAGCACGGTGACGTCCTCGGCCGGCGCGCCCGCCGCGGCCGCGCGCGCGAGCACGGCTTCGAGCGCGAGGTTGATGGACCGCGTGCCGCCGCCCGTCGTCAGCGCCTCGACGTCGCGGTCCTTGCCGCCCAGGAAGTGGCGCTGGAAGGCGACGAGCTCGGCCTCGCACCAGGCCCGGTCCCTCGAGGCGTCGTCGAAGACGGACGCGGCCCAGGCCGCGACGACGTCGACGCGCGCCGCGTCCGCCGGCGCCGCGGCCGCGGCGCCCGCGACGGAGACGACGTCGTGATGCGCGCCGACGCGGGACGGCTCGAGCGTCGCCGGCTCGTCGGAGCCGCCGGCCCGGGCGAGCGCCGACAGCGCGGCCCAGCCGAGGCACGCGACGCAAAAGTCGACGTAGAGCGGCGTGGAAGCGCCACTGCCGCCCTCGTTGGGGCTCAGGTACGCCGTCTGCCAGGCGTAGCCCACGTCGAAGTGGGCGTCGCGCAGCGCCACGTCGCGGTAGAGGGAGAAGCCGCTGAGGAAGAGGCCCTCCTCGATCGACGCGGACCGGACGCCGTCCGGCAGGACGAAGTTGACGGCGTCGTCGCGCGCCGCGAAGATGGCCCGGAACGACGCGTCGTTCACGTGGACGTGGACCGCGACGCCCGCGCGCCGCGCCTTTGCGGCTATGTCTCCGAGCGCCGGGTCGTCGAAGCCGACGACGACGCACGCGACGCCGTCCGGGATCGCGTCCGCGGCGGCGACGACGGCGACGCCGAGGCGCTTCGCGACGCCGGCGACGTCCGCGACGTCGCCGACCACGGCGACGGTCTTCGACCTCCGCAGCAAGGCATAGCCGTAGAGGCAGAGCGACAGGCTCTCGCGGCCGTCCGTCGCGTAGGACCCGAGCGGGAAGTTGAAGACGTGCTTCGGGAAGTTGACGAGGTTGCCGATGACGACGGAGTCGAGCACGGCCGGGTGGAGCGGGTTCCGGTTGCGCAGGTCCGGGTTGTGGAGCACGACGTCGAGGAACGCCGCGAGCCTCTCGCGGTCGCGCGCGTCGAGCGCGGCGAAGCGCGGGCTCGCCGCGTACTCGCGCGCGAGCAGCCTCCCGTTGAGCGCGTGGAAGTCGTCGGACACGCCGTACTTGTTGCCGGACTCGATCGTCGGCTCCTGCTTCTTCGACGCCCGCAGCGCCTCGGCGAAGAAGGCCTCGACCTCGGCGACCTCGAGGCCCTGGCGCCGGAAGTCGAGGGCCAGCCGCAGGTGGCCCGACGCGAGCATGGACTCGCAGGGCAGCTCGCCCAATTGCTTCAGCGCCGCAGGGACGAGGCCGATGGCCGGCACGCGCCCGGGGCCGTCGCAGCAGATCATGCTTGCCACGACGACGACGCTGGAGATTAGGCGAGGAGCTCCGGGGAGATGACCGAGCTCCTGCAACGCCGCTTCAGCTTGAATGTTGGACTTGTGATTGAAGCTGAGCGCCCCCCGAGGCCCAGGATGTTGCGCTCGACGAGCAGAGCGATAAAGCCACGCGCGCCTCCCAGTGAAAAAAGGGAGCTTACCGACGGAGCGCGGCCTCTTGGCGGCCGCGGGCTCGACGACGGCGCGCTAGTCGGCGCAGGCCGCGGCGACGGCGCCGGCGACGTCCGCGCCCGCGTCCGCGTAGCAGAGCGCGGCGAGGACCTTGAGGTGGCCGAGCACGTGCTCGTCGTCGATGCCGCGGGGGCAGGCCGTGCGGACGGCCTCGATCGCGTCGCCGTAGCAGGCCCAGTGCGCGTCGGAGAACGCGCCGACGTCGGTCTTGGCGCCGCGCTCGAGGAGGCCGTGGAGCGTCTCGCCGTGGGCCGCCGAGACGCGCGCGAAGCGGCCCGCCGTCGCCGCGCGCGCCGCGAGCTCCGCGTCGTAGGCGCTTCGGGCGTCGCCGAGCGCGTCGTCGCCGCGCGCCGCGAGGAGCCGCGCCTCGAGGAAGCTCAACGTGGCGTCGCGCGAGCTCACGAGCCCCGTCCGGGCCGGCGCGGCGGGCGCGGCGACGCCGCGCTTGTCGTCGCCGTCGCCCTGGAAGGCGACGACGTAGTCGCGCGCGAAGGACTGGTCCCCGAAGAGCTGGACGTGCGACTTGTTCGTCTCGCGCTTGACAACGCGGTACTGCTTGGCGAGCGTCTCCGCGGGCGCGTCGAGGTCGCTGTTCTCCATCCAGGACACGGAGTAGAGGTCGCCGAGGCACGTGGACAGCGACTTGCCGTCGACCTTCGACTCCGTGCCGCAGTAGCAGCCCCAGGAGCTCTCCATGCCCGACGCGGCCGTCGTCGCGTAGACCTTCGTGTCGTTCGCGAGCAGGTCGCCGGTGAACATGCTCCCGGACTCGCAGGCCTCGACGTAGACGACGAGGCGGTCGTACATGTCCTGGGAGCGCATGGTCTCGAGCGCGCCCTGGAGGTCCTTGGCCGTCACGGGCTTCTCGTTCGCGGGCATGGCCACCAGGCCCTTGGCGCCGTGGTCCGCGTAGTAGACGAAGACGTTGTCGCCCGCCGTCGAGCCGAGCACGCGGCCGCCCGCGGCGTCGGCGTCGCCCGTGAGCACGGCGAGGAAGACGTCGCGGTTCACGTCCTTGCCCGTGTACTCCGCGACGCAGCCGGCGTAGACGTCGACGCCGGGCACGCCCGCGGCCGTGGGCTTGTTGAAGACCTGGCCCGGGTACGGGTTCATCGCGTTGCCGGCGATGTCGTCGTACATCATGAGGATGATGTTCGACTCGGGCACGCCGTTCTTCTTCATGATCTGGTACGCGTGGCACGCGTCGGCCTGGTGCCGGTAGTTGGCGAAGGAGTTGGACCCGGCGACGATGACGGCCCAGTGGTGCTCCGTCGCGTTCGCGCGGACCTGGGCGGGCGTCCGTCGGCGGGCGGGCGGCGAGGGCGCGCGCGCGGGTTCGCGGGCGGCGCGCGCGCGTGCGTTGGCGGCGATTCGTCGTGATAGGAGTTCGCGCGAGCGCGTTTTCTACGGCGAGCGCGCCGCGCGCGGGCGGCGGCGAAGAAGAATGGGTGATCTCGAGCAATTTCTTTTTTCGGACGCCGGCGCGGACGCTGTCGAGCTCGCGCGTGCCGAAGGCCGCTGCATCACCGACGACGGCCGCGACGAGGCTGAGCTTCACGGCGAACAACATCGTGCGTTGCCGGCGCTTGAATGGGCCAATAGGACTGCCACAAAAAGGCTTCGCTAACCTCAAATTTACCACAGACACCACAAGTCTTGACGTGTGCCGAGGGCTGGTCTCTCGAATTCGCGCGGGAGGAGCGCCTGGAGGAGCGCCTGGAGGAGCACCCAAAATGGCCACAATGGAGAGATTCTGGCTCGCGGTCAACGTCGCCGCGTGGAGCTGCTGGTTGCTCCTCCTCGAGTGGCTCAAGGACGCGCCTTTGGGCGCGCGCGTCTGGGCGCTGCCGCACCTGCCCGAGCTCGTGGCGGGCCTCGAGGCGATCTGCTGCGTCGAGGTCCTGCGCATGGTCGTCGGCGACCTGCGCGGGAGCTGGGTGACGGGCCTGCTGCTCCACTACACGCGCGTCGTCGTCATCGCGACGGTGCTGCCGACGGCGAGCGAGGTCCTCGCGCGGACGATCCTCGTCGCCTGGGCCGCGACGGAGCTCTGCCGCTACCCCTGCTACGTCTTCAAGGGGTCGCCCTTTTTGCTGCGCGTGCGGAGCGCCGCGCCCGTGGTCACGTTCCCGCTCGGCGCGGGCTCGGAGCTCGTCGCCTGCTACTTCCGGTACCAGGCGAGCGACGGCGCGCTCCGGTCCGCGCTCGGCTTCCAGGTGAGATTGCCCAACAATGATAGTCACTTGAGCAACATCTTCGAATTTAGGTCCTGCTCAACGTCTTCGGGTCGCTCTACACCTACCCGAACATGGTCGCGCGGGCGCGGAAGGCCGTCTTCCCGCCGGCGCCCGAGGTCGTGTCCGGCGTGCAGTTCCCCAAGACGTCGGAGCGCGGCGACCGGTCGACGACGGTAACGGGCAAGGCCGCGTGGCGGGGCCTCGCGGCGGAGCTCGGGGCGGCGGACGTCGCGCGGGCCATCGACTGGGAGGGCGACTGGCGCGCGAACTACGGCCGCCACGTCGTCGCGGTCGCGGAGGCGCTCGCCGGCGCGCCCGTCGACGCCGCGGCGGAGGCGTGCGACAAGACGCTCGCGGATTTGTCCGACGCCTTCGAGTTCGTGCGCGACGGCGCGACGACGACGGGCCTCCGCGCGGCCCTCGCCAGGTACGACGAGCCCAAGCTCGAGACGTTCATCGTCCAGGGCCGCGGCAAGGCGGGCGACGTCGCCGTCGGCGCGCTTCGCGGCGCGGCGCTCGACGCCAAGTTCGACGAGCTGGCGGCGGCGGGCGAGCTGTCGCCCGACGCCGCGGCGACGCTGAAGAAATTACCGAAGGACCTGGCGCTCCACGGGCGCTGCTTCGTCGTCTTCGGCGCGTCGTCCGAGGTCGGGCCGTGCCGCCGCCTGCTCGAGCGGGGCGCGACGGTGCTGGCCGTCGCGCGGAAGAACGTGAAAAAATGGGCAGACCTGATCGCCTACGCGCGGACGACGGCGGGCACGCTCTACGTGCCCGTGGCGCTCGGGAGCGGGCCGCGCGGCGACCTCGACGCCGCGGTGAACGCGGGCTGCGATTTGCTCCGGGACCTGCCGGAGATCAAGACCTGGCTCGCGGAGGCCTGCTTCGCGCCGCTCGTCGTGGGCTGCTACACCTACCTCGACGGCGACCGGCACGTGCGCGTCGTCGCGGCCTGCGACGCGATCGCGCAGGCGCTCGTCGCCGAGACGCGCGCCGGCCGCGACATGGCCTACGCGTACCTCGGGTCGCCGGGCACGGCGCACCGGCGGCCCGCCGAGGCGGCGGCGCGGGCCGACGCGGCCCTCGCGGCGCTGCCGGCCTGGCAGCGGCTCCTCGTCGCCGCGGGCGCGCTGCGAGTCGCGACGGGGACGACGTTCGACGGTCTGCTGAACCTGCAGGGGCCGAACTACGCGCTCGCCAAGACGATGCAGATGTGGCGCGCGGCGGCGGCGAAGCACGACCACCACGTCGTCTCCTGCCCCATGGCGCCCGCCGTGCGGACGCGGAGCATGCTCAAGAGCGCCGCCGTCGCCGCGGCGCTCAAGGGCGGGCCGCGCTTCGGCGCGACGAGCTACTCGCCGGAGTTCGCGTCGGCGGTCATGGCGCTCCTGCTCATGGCCCACGTCACGGACCCGGACAACGCCCACGCGAGCCCCCACGCGGCCCTGGGCGGCGTCCTCGACACGTTCGCGCGGGACGGCTTCACCGGCGGGCTCTGGACGTCGCCCTTCGCGCCGGACTCGACCGCGAAGCCCGCGGCCGCCGCGGGGCTCCTGTTCCCGGCGAAGCTCGGGGACTGATGTTTTGGCCACGTATAAGGGCGGCGGCGGTGTAGAGCGGCGGTGGCCGCCGTGTGGGAGGCCTGTCGTCGGTGGTGGCGGCCGCGCCGAGGCCGAGCTTTGCTTCGGAGAGCCGAAGAGCATCGACCTGTTGCGAGTCATCAGCGCCGTGCACGACGCCGCGCGCGACTCGGGCGCGGACGCCGACGCGAATCAGGAGCGCAGAGACCGCGCACTCGATACACAAATGGCCGAGCGCCCGCCGCGCCCTCGCAACGTGCTCCTGGCGGAGTTCCCCGGCCTCGACAAGGAGGACGCGTCGCAGGCGCTGCGCGACTCGGCGGGCGACCTCGACGCGGCGCGGACGCTCCTGCGCCGCCAGCGCGCAGCCGATGACGACCGCCAGCGCGCCGCCGACGAGTCGGGCAACGAGACCGACGACTTCGAGCCGCCGCCGCCGCCGCCCGAGGACGACGACGACTTCGTCCCTCCGCCGCCGCTCGCGCGGCCGCCGGCGCCGCCGGCGGACGAGGACACGGAGGACGAGGACGGCCCCGCGGCCGTCAAGGCGGAGGCGCTCGACGACGACTTCGAGCTCATCGACGACGAGGACGACGACGACGACTTCGAGGACGCCATGGCGGACGCCGCGCGGCCGCGGAAGCGGGCCCGCGCGGGAGGCGCGACGCCGAAGAAGCGGCAGAAGCTCTCGGAGGAGGAGAAGGCGTCGCGCAAGGCCGCGCGGTCCGCGGCGACGGCGGAGCGGCGCGAGGCCAAAAAGCACGAGGAGGCCGAGGCCGCGGAGGCCATGAAGGCGAACCGCGCGGCGATCAAGGCCGGCGGGAGCAGCGCGAGCTCGCCCCTGGCGCCCTACGCGGGCCAGAGCCAGCTCCTCGGCGAGGTCGGCGACCGCATCAACTTCAGCGGCGTCTTCCTCTACCACCGGTCGTCCAAGGCCGCGGAGAACGACTACGGCGTCAAGGTCAACCACCTCTACGCGTTCGTCGTCAACGACACGGACGTCGTCCAGTGGTGGACGACGCCGAACAACGACGAGCGCGGGCTCCTCCGCGACGAGGGCGCGGCGGTCGACTTCGCCGGCACGGTCAAGAAGCACGAGCGCTACGAGGGCGTCGACATCACGACGGTGTCGCGGCTCAAGGTGCACGTCGTCGACGGACGCCGCGTCGCGAAGACGCCCAAGGGCAAGGCGCCGCGGCCCAAGGGCGGCGACGGCCGCGTGCTCGACGGCGACGACGACGACGACGCCGCGCCGGACGCGCCGCCGGACGCGCCGCCGTCGTCGTCCAAGAAGCCGCGAGTCGCCGGCGGCGCGCGGCGCCAGAAGTCCATGGACAACGCGCTCATCAAGGAGGCGACCGAGGACGCCGACTACGAGGACGCGACGACGCAGGCCGCCGCGGACTCGAACAGCATGCTCAAGGAGCTCGCGCTCGCGCGCGCGCGGCGCCGCCAGGGCAAGTAGGCGCGTTTACACGGAGCTTCGCGCCGGGGGTGAGCGCCGTTGGCATGCTATTGGGAATTCAAGGTGGGGGAGCCACCGCCGTCGGGGGGGCAGATCCGGTCGCCGCGGTCGTCGTCGCGGGCGCCGTCCGCTTCGAGGTCGTCGCGCCGCGGCTCGACGCGGGTCTCGGGGCGGCATCGCGCGTAGGCGTTCCAGACCGCGGCGGCGACGACGAGGCAGAGGACGAGGCCCAGGGCCGTCGCGAGGCCGCCCCGCTTGCCGCCGGCGCTTTGCGGCAGGGGCACGAAGCCGATGAGCGGCTGGGACAGCAAAGGCATGAAGCAGAACATCTCCTCGAGCACGACGTCTTGGACATCGTCCTGTAAATGAAACAGGCACGAGGACGCGAGCGGCGGCCGCCGGACGGCCGCGGCGTGCGCGCGGCGCACGCCGTCGGAGTCGGACGCGGCGCGGGCCGCGCGCGCGCCGAGGACGGACGCGCCGGCCGGCGTGTCGCGGAGGTCCGGCTGCCACTGGAGGAGGAAGAACGCCGCGGAGTCCGGCAGGAGCTCCGGCGCCGCGAAGGGGTACGCGGCGCGCGCCCAGGGCTCCCGGAGGTCGCGGCCGACGAGGGCGACGAGCGCGGGGAGGACGACGAAGGTCACGTAGATGACGATGGGCTGGACGACGACGAAGTAGAGGGCCATGGAGAAGGCGCAGCCCTCGAGCCAGACGCGCGACTTGCGCGCGCCGAACTGAGAGCCCGTCGTCACGAGGTAGTAGGCCATGTAGGCGCAGATCGCGGCGACGGCGGCGCACGCGGCGGCGTAGGCGCGGTACGACGGGGGCGCCTCGGGCGCCTCGGGCCGCGACGCGAGGCGGTCGCCGCAGGTCTCGAGGATGAGGCGCTCCCGGCGCGAGAGGAGCTCCTCGCGCATGCACGCGACGAGATGCGCCTCGCGCTCGCCGCGGCCCGCGTCGGCCGGGAGCGCGCGGCGCCACTTGGCCGCCTTCCGGATCTTGGCGGCGATCTTCGACGCGGCGCCGGCGACGAAGACTCGTCGCCGCGCGTCGTGGCGCCAGGCGGCGAGGAGCCGCGCGTCCAGCTCCGAGAGGAGCGCGCGGACGCGCGCGTCGCCGCAGGCCGCCGCGCGCGCCCGCAGCTCGCGGCTCCGGGCGAGCACCGCCTCGCAGGCGCGCGGCGCGAGCGCCGCGGCGACCTCCCGCACCGTAGGCTCCGGGCCCAGCGGCGGCGCGTCCGCGCGCCGCGCGAGCCGCGCGTCCATGTCCTCGACGAGCGCGTTGGCCCACTCGCCGAGC